GCCTACAGCCGGAAGCTCCCTTCCCATAATCATATTTTGTCTTCCACAACCCACAAACGCACAAGTGAAAATGGGATATGCTGCCATCACCTTGCGCGACAATTACGGATTCTGAGCTATGAAGAATTAAAGAAACGTTGTAAAATTCTGTTGGACCACCGCCAAATGGGAAGTAATCTTTAGGGTCTTTGTTACTCCTCTCACATAAGCTAAGGATAGGACAAAATAAAAGGATCCGATAGTTCTCTGAACATAGGATCTCCCGAATCTAATATCATGTACCATTTGGGAAAAGTACCAAAAAAGTCTATCGGTACCAATTCAGTCCTAAACCTTTTAATCATACCAATTTAATTATAAATATTTTGTATATGTGCTAATTAAGTTTGCCTGAAATCGCTAACATGAACATTGTGGCACGACTAACCCTAACGTAGACAAATTTTTATTTTTTTATAATTTATTTTTTCATTATAGCCCGTGAGGGTCGCGGCCCTCGCCAGCCACGGGCGAGGGCTGCCATGTGATAAAAATTCAAAAAAAACATTAGAAAACTATAAAATTTGTCCACGTCATCGTCAGTCATACCACATAAGGTGGTCGACGTCCATGTCAGATATTTCCAGCCAAAATTGATCGGATGGACTCAATTGGTATCAATGTGAAGATGTTTAAGACTAAATTGGTTCAATCGAAATGTTTAAGATCGAATTAGTACCAATGCAATAGGTTTATGACCTATTTTGGTTCTTTCCCCCGTAAAATTTAGATGGATTCAATACAAATTTTTCATAAAAATTTCAGACCGTCAAATGGGGTGCGACATTCGATAATTAAATGCTTTTAACGAAAAAAAAAAAGAAGAGGAAGGAACAACCAAAGTCTCTTGACCCATAATTTCAACTTTTGATTGGGACCAAAGTTTGGAGGGAAGCCCCTTTTTCCCGATTGTGCTTGTGGGTTGGTCAGATGACACTTTCATAAGCCGGTTGATTTTCACATCGGATGTGCACGTCCAGCGTGGGTCGAACCTATTGGCCCTTTGGCGATGCGAGTGCTGGGGAGTGGGAGACAGGGGACAGCCATCGATCCTTTGTCCCGGACATCGACTTTCATGCACAATCGTGGCTCCTGTGATCGAGTGTTTCTCCAACATCAACCCTACTAATTCCATTGTCGAATCGTCATTCGATGCATGTAATGACCAGATGAAGCAAGGGGGTTCTTTTTTTTTTTTTAATAATTTTTAATTTTTGGGGTAATTTTGAGAATTCATCTTCGCTTTGGTGAGCCTCTTGCCGCGCCTCGGTTGTTTTTTAGTTTTATGTCCATAGAAAATTGTATCCATGACTCAAAACGATACATGAGAAATACATATATATCCATAACAAAGCTAACCGAAGCAGAGCAAAACCCAGAATATTACAAAACCAAATCAAATCCAGAAAACAAGAAGAATCAACAAAGCACTAACATGATTAGGAACACGCTCGTTCCAGAAGAATGTATCTATCAATATGATGGTAATTTTCCATTAGTCATTGTTAATTGCATTCATACGACATTTAACATGGCTGTTTTCTGTAATTTTTCAAAGCGGTTGTAACTTTTATGGGTAAAGTGCAGATTGAGTCATTTAAATTTCAACGTTTATAAGATTTGGTCTTCTAAATTTTATTTCGTTCGATCAAGTCCTCTAACTTTTGAGATTTGTGCAATTTACCCCTCTAATTTTTTTTTTGTTCGATCAGACTCTCTACCTTTCTTGATTTGGAGGACCAAATCTCACAAATCTCAAAAGTTAGAGGGCTTGTTCGCACAAAATATAAATTAAAGAACCAGATTACACAAACGCCGGAAACTTTAGTGGATCCTTACTATTCTAGATCAAAAGTGAGCAAGATGGTGCCATGGCGCTGCTAAGAGTTTTGATGTTACACTGACTGGACCGGCTCATTGGGCGGACCTTTTGGTCCACCTATAGGACCATCTTTTTTATTTTATTTTAAATTCTCAGCTAAATTTATAAATGAAAATAATATCAGGGTTTTTCGTTATTTTATTTCGTTATTTTACTTGCGAATTTTATACTATTTTTATCTTCTGTATCAGAAATTTGGACTTATTTTGTGCTATCGGTATTTATAAATCTTTAAATATCAAAAGTAAAACTATTACTAGAGCGTATTTTATAATCTCTTTTTTAATTAAAAAAACATAAGCGGGCCGGGCAGAACATCCAAGGCCCGGCCCACGCACTGCATGGGCCTGGGATTTTTGTCGAAGCTTACCAGCGGGCCTAAAGAATTCCTTACTAATTAGAAGTTTTCCACGTGGCTTTTACATTATCGTCATCAAACAATTGAGATTTGTCGAACAATTGATTTTTTCTTGTGTCAACTGTAGCCTATCTTTACAATCGACAAATGATGGTGCACAGCACGATGTTGTTCCCCAACCATATTTGCAACCACCTTCCTTTGATTGCAGCCACATCGAATTTAAAGAGGCTAATTATTGGCCTCGGATGTAAGTATCGTTTTGCACCATACAGGCCAGAGATTATTGAATTCCTTCGCGAAATTGACTTGACAAAAGGAAAAGGCCAAAAGAAATAAGGTCGAATATGAAGGAATTCTTGACGATTATGTTTCTCTGCGTTGTCGTTCCACGATATAAATTCAAGAATTATCAATAGTCCGACTGTTGGCGTACAAAATAAGTTAAATACGTCTTCATCGAGTGGCTAACATGTATACATAAAGTTACCTGTGCTTCCATATGTCAATCATCTGACCGCGACCCTTATATCAGCAGACCTATTCAAGGTCGTCAACTTTTTTTTTCTAATGACCGCAATAGCTCGCACCCATGTTTATCCCTAGGAAATACCAACCAAAGAGCCCTCTTATTAGGATGCAATGCAATGTTGTTGTTATGGATAGGGTGTAATTATAGGGGCCAGAAAATCTGAGAATTAAAGTTAGGTATATGGGCCAGTTCTCACGTTGCATGCACATTGAAATTACACTAGTGGATGACCCGTGAAGATTGTCACTTTGTCAAGTTTCTGTCTGTAGTTTTGGCCAAAACCAAAAGCTTTCATGCGTAGTTGTTCTCCTTTTCAATGTTAATGAATTACACGTGATTTTTGCACATATTAATGTTGTTTTCCTGTTATTATTTAGAGCATGTTGTGTTGTTTTTTTCACGCACCCACCAAAATGCATATTACTAACTTTACGAAATTCTCGATCATAGAAAAAAAAAGATATATAAAGTAATCGCTTGTTGTCGTCGACATATTTCATGTGTTGGTTCCGACATGTACTACGTCGCACAAACATATCAACGAGAGGATAAACATGTAACTCATATTACGTGACACATGCTCATGGAGAGAGGAGAAAGCATTTTTACGTGCATTGAATATTGGGCGACGACCTAATTACAATGCTCGCGTCAATGCATATTACTGACTTTTTTTTCCACGTATGATCACTGTCACATGATATAAACGTAATAGTCTTAGTAAGAGATGGCCACATCCTCAAAAGATCAACATCATCCTGTGGCCCATATCATGTCATGTGTCCCAAATTTGAGCGGGCAATATGCCAAATGTAAAATCCATGATATCAACTCACTTACCAGTAACTCAAGAAGTTAATGAATGACCTAACACATAAGTTATTCTTGAAATAGATTGTCCCCTAAGCCATCCACCAAATCCATGAGTTATCTATACAGACCCACCTATCCTTACCCAAGAACTTAGGCACGTTCATCAATTTGGGGATTTCCTAGTAACTAGGAAAGACGACTTTGTGAAGAGACTTCTCCCATTTAGTACCAATCTTTTTGATCTTGTGGGTGAATTGCATTTACTAACGTGGATGTTGATCAATGAATCGCTCTGCATCCAATTTGTCCTTTGCTCTATCTTATGCTGGTCAATGGTTGATGACTCGTTGCCATGTTTGGCGGGGCTTCGGTCCAAAATAGACCCACATTGGCAAATTCTTCTTTTTTCTAAACTAGACGCCTAGAAAAACTAATTTCAATTTAGACCCAACAAAAGTTGGATTTCAGTGGTCATCATGATCAAATGATTCACTTGGCAATCTTGTGCCCACAAACAAAGTTGTACGTGTCTCTGGCATCGGCCAAACGAAATGGTCTCTTTTTGTCAAGAATGGTGTGGAATGCGGAACTGCAGGACCTTGGTACGTGCACGAGGGTAGAAACCTTGATGCCCGACGAGTTGAATGAAACAGGCCACGATGCACGTGCTTCACCTTCCCATGTTTCGTGTCCTAAGCATGTTATTGTACGTGCCGACACGTCTCTCGAACGCTCAAACATGATCAATCAGAACAAGATCCATACGACACAGGCATTTTTGTTGATTAACATCATGCACTGTTTCAGCTCCCTTGTCGTAATTAGGCGACCAATGAATGACTCGGGGTTGTATTCGCAATTGCAAGCGAATCCCTCTCTCTCTCTGTCTGGAAGTAAGAAAGTCGATGGGGGAATTTCAACGACATATCTCGTTCTTGCTTGACTACATGCTTATCGATACATAAGATTACTTCCTTCTAAAAATGATATGAGTGGCTTGAGAATCGGACCAATCGCTTCGCACTAAAATTCATTTCATCTTATAGTAGAAGTAAGAAAATCGACAAATGGGATCTATATGCTTCTAATTCTACCCTTGAAATGAAATCTATCATGTCCACGTATTCTTTTTCTTCTTGTTTTGAAACCAAAAATGTCTGCCAAAGCTAATTTCATTCGCTCTCTGAAGAGGAGAGAGAGTCCTCAAGCTTGGTGGACATGGCGTGTATCAACAAAAAGCAATGTGTATAATCTTGGTGACATGAGCGGACAGGTTCGTTGAGCCATGAAATACACATGATCGATCCTCCAAACAGAGCCGTCCTTCTAATCGTTCAGTGTTAAAACCATTGCCTAAAGAAAGAGAGTGACAATCGTTTTATCCCTATAAAACCTGAAGGAAGACACGCCCGTATGTCATCCCGCAGCTAGCATTTAGACGCATCGGATCGCCGCGATCCCCGGGATCTCTAGGTGTCCTTATTGAGGTACTCAGCTTCACGTCACTTGTTCTCGAGAGCATATGATGTTGTGCTGTCCGTATGGCAAGTTTTTCGGAGTTAGAAATCCGTTCTGAGTAAAGTTTTCCAGTGATTTATCAACTCAGCAATGCAGATTATTCACGAGTCTTGTCTTACATTCGTGCATGGTAGACATGTAGAATTGTGTGTGAATTTACTTGCTTGACAAAAGCCAAAGTTCGCCGATTTTGGTCGATTATGCTGTTCGTTTGCTTCGCCTTACCTAGGTCATTTACTTAGTCGTAGATCTTAGCTTTCTGAAAATAACATGATCATATCTGTTCTCTCTTCATCTTGGGGTAGCTCGAAATAGAGATTGCCATCAAACTTCACATTCCTGTCGCTTTCGCTAATACGAGTCTCGCCTCACATGACATGTTATAACGAGGACTTCATATTCAAATTGACACCTTCCTTTTCCGCGGTGGCTTGAGTGCTATCTAAATCGTCGACCGGTTATGCTTTGCGTTTACATAGAGATCGCTCGAACCAGGAGAGTAATTCTCCAAGAGCTAGAGCAATTCCACACTATAAATACCATCCTGTGTCCAGGAAACCCCCGAGTTCAAGTGTATCCATCTGATCATGTTCTCCTTTTCCAGGAAACATTACACTGAGGCACCTTCATCACGAAAGGAAGTGAAAGTGGTGTTGCGGCGACTAATGCTCAAGGTTTGGCCGATGCATCCCGAGAACGTGCTCAAGAAAATGCGGGGAAAGCCGCTTCCTGGGAAATTCATACTCGCACTGTGCATTTCGAGCTTCCTGGCAGGATCGCTCTTCACCAGCCGAACATGGACTACTCACCCTTCTCCCGAAACCGACGGACAAATGCCGACCATTAGGGATGATATGCCGATGCAGGATTGCGACCACAAGCGTGTAAGCTTATACTTTCCGTTCATTTGGTTCAATACAGAACAAAAGCCAAAGCAGAGAAGATGAAACTGATGGAGGGGTATCGTCATATGAACTGATGTTACTTCCATTCTTTCAGAAACTTGTCGAGGAACAATCTGGAGATATAGCGGAGGAAGTCACCAGGACCCGCCAAGTCATCAAGTGAGTCTGACCTGAGGATACACAAGTTCCTTCGTTCAACATTTACCTTAGACAGCATCTGATCTTAAGCACAGGTCTCTTGAAAAAACAATGTCTAAACTGGAGACGGACTTGGCCGTGGCTCATACAAGCCAACACGGAGCGTCCTCATCTAATCACAGTCTCGAGAAGGCCTTCGTCGTCATCGGGATCAATACGGCGTTCAGCAGCAAACGGAGGCGAGATTCGCTCCGGCAAACGTGGTTGCCTAGAGGTTTTTTCCCTTCTCTTTCCATCGAATCTCTTCGATATGATAGAAGTTTCCCGTGTCAGCTCCGGAAGAGTGATGTGCGTATTTATGGCAGGAGAGAAGCTAAAGAAGCTGGAGAAAGAGAAAGGGGTGGTGGTGAGGTTCGTGATCGGGCACAGCACGACCCCCGGCGGGGTCCTGGACAGGGCGATCGACGCGGAGGACGCGAAGCACCACGACTTCCTCAGGCTGGACCACGTCGAGGGCTACCACGAGCTCTCCTCCAAGACCCGCCTCTACTTCTCCACCGCCACCTCGACCTGGGACGCCGACTTCTACGTCAAGGTCGACGACGACGTCCACCTGAACCCAGGTCCGTAGATTTCACCCCCAACCCCTCACCCCTCACCAGCCATTCTCTCCCGTTCAAATTTTTCGCTCTTCCCGGCCTAATTTTACGATGACTAACGTTCTGCAACATAGGCACGTTGGTGAGCACACTGGCTAGGTATCGGTCCAAGCCGCGGATCTACATCGGGTGCATGAAGTCTGGCCCAGTTTTGTCACTAAAGTAAGCATCTACCGAGCAAAATGTTAATGCAATCGTTTTTTTTTTCGTCATTTAATATAAAATACGGAACTATAGAAAAATTAATTACATGCACAATTAGTAATTCTTTTCCATTTTTCCAAATATCGTGTAATATGACAGGGGCGAAAAATACCACGAGCCGGAGTTCTGGAAATTCGGGGAAGAAGGGAACAAGTATTTCAGGCACGCCACTGGCCAGCTCTATGCCGTCTCCAGGGACCTCGCTTCCTATATTGCCACCAACTCGTGAGTCGACTCGTCGTCGCCGACGCGGCCCGATCTTCACTCGATGCTTCTTCATTTTTTTTTTTTTATCGCCGCTATTTTTATTTTCCAATTTCGACTTATTCATTTAATTTTCCGATTTTTCAAAAATGGGGCAGGCCGATATTGCATAGGTATGCAAACGAGGACGTTTCGGTGGGGGCCTGGTTCATCGGCCTGGAGGTTGACCACGTTGACGAGCGGTCCATGTGCTGTGGGACACCCCCAGGTTAATTAATTCAGATTTAATTCGAGCTTTTTTTTACATTTAATTATGCACCCAAAAATAAAATAAAATTAAAGGATCTAATTTTCTCTCATTTTTCTCTCGTTTCTCTCTCTCTTTCGTTGTTTTTTTTTCTGTTTTTTTTGTGTGTGTGTGCAGACTGTGCACTGAAGGCGGAGGCCGGGAACGCGTGCGTGGCGTCGTTCGATTGGTCGTGCAGCGGCGTGTGCAGATCCGCGGAGAGGATGAAGGAGATCCACAGGCGGTGCGGGGAAGGTGACGGCGCTCTTTGGGATATTCGTCTGTGACCCCCGGAAGTTTGCTTAAATTGTGTTTTGCACCCCACCTCCTCCAAATAGAAGAAGAAGAAGAAGGAAGGAAGGAAGGAAGGAAGGGCTCGAGTGTGGAGAGATTGAACGAGGCCGTGTTTGTTTACGAGGAGTTAAATTTTTCGAGCAGTACCTATTATGGGCTTCTACGTGTGTTTTGAATGTTCGGGGACGATTAGTACGAAGGTTAATGCGTTTTCGATTCATTTCGTGGCTGCGTGTCGTTCCGTGCTTTGAATATTTAGAAAGTGTTTAGTTCTGTAATCAAGACAAGAAATTTGCATTCGTTGTTTTTTTCGCTTTTTTTTTTCGACTTTTCGACGCGTCAAATCAAATTCATCGCCCTCCCCCCGCGAAAAATAAAAGGGAAAAGACCACCAAAAACCCCAAACTATGTCACCTGCGACACATTTACCCTGAACTTTTTTTTTGTGACACTAAAAACCCCAAACTATGCTATTTGTGACACATTTATCCCATTGTACTTTAGTCCATGGGCATTTTCGTCTTTTTTGCTTTTTCCTTTTTTTTTCCTTTCCGACGAGGGCGGCCCTCGCCGGCGTCGGGCGAGAGTTGCCCTCGTCGGAAAGGAAAAAAAAGCAAAAAAAAAAAAGAAAAAAAAAGACGAAAATGCCCATGGACTAAAGTACATTGGGGTGAATATGTCACAAATAGTATAGTTTAGTGTTTTTGGTGTCACAAAAAAAGTTCAGGGTAAATGTATCACATGTGACATAGTTTGAAGTTTTTGGTGATTTTTTTTCAAAATAAAATGTATCGACCGCATTTTAGGATTAACTTATGATGGGCCTCATGAAAAAAAAGTTACTTGTAGAGCGCGAGCATTGTTGTTGGGGGCTTTTGACTTAAGGAAGGCATGCTTTGTGTCCTTTGACATCACCGAGTTCAAAAAATCGAGCGCTCCGAAAACGTAAGCCGACACGGGTCGTTGCCATTTGAGTGGGAGGACTAATTTGTAAAGAGAAATGCTTAATCTATCTAAAAATTAGAAGAAAGGAAAGGGATTAGTACTACAAAAAACCTCAAACTGGTACATTTATAATAAATTTACCAAAAACTAATTTTTTGACTGCTAAAAATCTCAAACTGGTACGCATGTGACAATCTTGAGGTTTTTAGTGACAATTTTACCGTCAAATTTCTAAATTGGATGACACGCGGCAGCTAAGGATGTGCAAAGAAATCGGAAACCGCCCGGACCAGTTTGGGACCGCGGTTCCTGTGGGGACTGATCTGCTTTCCAGTTCCAATTTACTATAATCGGTGAGTATCGGTCCGGTTCTTGGTTCTAGGTGTGGAACCGCTCACTCGGACCGGTAATATATATAATTTTAAGAAAATGAAGACTCTAAAATCCATAATCTGAAACTCAACGCCTATTAATTGAGTGCTCGTCTTGTGTCACTTGTCTCTCTATCTCTCGTTTATGGTCTCGACTTTCAAGCTTAACACCCATCGACTCTCAACTCCTATCGACTCACGGCCACGCCTCCGACTGTTCATTATCCCCCTCTCTCGCTTTCAGTCACCTCCATTTGCGTGAAACTTGGTGAGACCAGTTCCCGGTTTCAATTTTTCGAAACCAGTCCTTAGTGGGCGGTTCCCGATTCCATGATGGGAACCGCCCACCCGGACCTTGCTTACCCCTAGTGACAGCTGACGGACGTATCAATTCGGGGCGTTACCTTCCGTTTATCACGGGTGTACCGGTCTGTGATTTTTTGTAGTATCAATCCAATTTAACGAAGGGTAAATTTATCACAAACATACTAATTCTGGATTTTTTATATTAAAAAAAGTTAGCTCGGAATGAATTTGGTTTTCGAAGACATCAACCCAAAAAAAAAACAGGAAAAGGGCGGGAGGAGGAACCTTCCCCTCGTGAAGAGGACGGAGAGGATCCGTCGCTTTCGTCCCCCGCCCATTCCCGCGCACCGCGCTTTGGGTCCGCATGCATTTTTCCCGCTAAAACTAGAGGAATAAACAAATAAACCAATCCCTTTCGCCATGACCCCCCCGAAAGTCTTTCGGGAATGCGCGCATCAATTCAAGAGAACTCTTCTCTTTGCGCAATTCGTAACGATTGCCCCACAAGCCAATTTGCTCTGTGTACATTTGAGAAGGACGGTTGAGCATTCGAATTCGAACGTGAGACGCGAGGCGTTTCAGGGATGGCATGGTGGTTATCTCGAGAGTGTCTGGGATAGCGGTTTCGTCCGCTAAATTGATAACGCGATTCTTTTGGAGAATTTATGGCGTGGCGTTCGTAAAATTCCCGCAAAAGGCATTGAGCTGAATGGTATTCCAAATTAGCTTTATTATAGATAGAGAGACAGAGGTTAAAAAAAAAGGAAAGGAAAAGAAAAAAAAACTTGAAAATTATTAAAAATTATAAAAAAAATTGTCTACGTCAGTGCCGGCCGTGTCACGTCAGACGGCCGATATCCACGTTAGTAATTTCCGACCTAAATTGGTCGGATAAACTAAATTAGTACCGATGTGATAAAATTTAAAACTAAATTGATCAAATTGAAAAGTTTTGGACTGAATTTGTACAAATGCGATAGGTTTAGAACTCTTTTTTTGTACTTTACCCCTCAAAGAAATGCAAATGTGTTATTCGCTACGAAATTAATAATGTCGGAATAATGAACTCGGATCTCATCCCACAAAAATTATCAGATATTCTAAACTGAAATTAAATCTTCCTTGTTATGCAAGAATTTAGAAGTCATTGCTGAAATATCCAGACGACACATTTTTTCTTCTTTCGTTTATTTGTTTCAACTATTAATGAAGCAAATTCAACCTAAATCTTTTTATAGAAAACGCAAAAAAGTCTCATGCCCAATTTAAAATCAACTACATCCATTCACATTTTTAGCAAATAATCCGTGAATCCCTCACTTTTCGAATTCGAATCGAAGAAAAATACCGAGTATTTCACAAATAATAATCTTTTCGATATTACAGGGCGGTGTCTCGCCCGACTTCTACTTTTTTTTTTATTTCAGATTTCGAGGCTCACAACTTTAACTCTTTTTTAAAACTATAAACACTCCAAAATTTTCGCAATATATAAATACCGACACGTAGATTTGCATAAATACGTTCTTATCTTTACAATACCTGGAATGGTATGTTTAGTATACAAGGTTTGTATTTACAGCTGGAATCCAAAAGGGTTTCTCTCGCCCAAATTAAATGCACTAAATGCCCAAAACTCTAGCTTAGCGCAATAGATCAGATTATCATCATCATTATACTACTAATTATTCAGTAACCCAGTTCAGATTTTCTACCAATTTTGTGCCCCAATCAGGATCAAACGGGTGTCTTCCATTGCTTGCTTTCCCAATAATAGAAAAAGTAAAAATGACATAAACAGTCCCTGAATTTTGACTCAATGTACAATTTGATCCATGAACTTTTAATTTGTTCAACGTAATTTCTGAACTTTAATCCAATGTTCAATGTGGTCCTTGAAATTTCAATTTATTCAATGTGGTCCCTGAACTTTTGGTACATGTTCAATATAATCCCTGAACTTTACAAAAATATTCAATGTAGTCCTTCAATTAATTCAAGTTCAAGGACTATATCATACATTTTCATATAATTGAGGGACTAAATTGAACATGTATCAAAAATTCAGAGACCACATTGAGCATTGGATTAAAGTTCAGAGATCATATTGAATAAATAAAAAGTTCATGGATCAAATTGCACATGGAGAATATTTGAATAATATAACGAATTTCATGGAATTGCAAAAAAGGCAAAGGCGGGGCAAATTAAGAAATCTAAGTGGAGAGAGAGAGAGAGAGAGAGAGAGAGAGAGAGAGAGGGGGCACCGCCAATGACGGAACCGAACGAAAAAGAAGTAAATAAATACAGCCGAAAAAGTAAAACCCTAATCCACCTCCTCCTCTTCCTTCTCCTTCTTCTCCTTCTTCTTCTTCTTCACCGCCTCTTTCCCAACAGTAGCCACTCTAGCCTCCTTCGCCTGCGACTCCTCGGATTCCTCCCCAGCAGCTGGATAGACCCACGGAGCGAAAACCTTGCCCCACCCTTCGTAAATCGTACTGAGCGGAAACGAGGGTCGGTCCCAGATCCCGCGCCCGAGCTCTGCTCTGTTTCCTTCCGTGTCCTCCCCCCCGCCCCTCAATGCCCTCCGCCATGGGAGTCAACGACTGCGGGAGGCCCTACAAGCGCCTCAAGAGGAGGGTCACCGCCGACCTCTCCGACTTCCTCTCCTTCGGCTGCTCCGGCGGCGGCGGCGGCGGCGGAGGGGAGGTCTGCGGCGGGCCCTTCCGGACGAGGGTCGCCGAGTTCCTGGGCGGCCGCGCCCGCGCCACCTTGCCGCCGTCCCCCTTCTCGTCGCTGGCCGCGTGGAGGGTGCTCTTCCGCGTCGGCGACCTGGACTCGTCCAAGGTGGTGGTCCCTCTGGACGTCGTGGAGGAGGACGTCACGAGGTCCAGATCCGTGTACTGTGACCAGTGCCGCGTCGTTGGTGAGTCTTGACTCAGTGAGTTGGGACGAGTTTCGCTACTTTCTCTAGGCGCGGGGGGTGGCTTCTCTTCTTTTACCGCTCCTTTTCTTTTTTACTTTTGATTTAGCTACACGAGGAAGGATCAGGACTGAACTCCAAAAATTACGAGATGGGTCTTTGCTAACACAAACTTCTTCGAAAATTCAAGAACCGACAAGAAGATATTATATAAAATTCTAATGTGAAAAGACTTTTTGGTGAGCCTGGCCTCAACCCACGAAAAGAAAAAGTAAAAAGTAGGAGTCTTGAAAATAACAGACCGGCGGGTCGCTGTGAAAAGAAGCAGCAGCACCACCGTTCTTTTGGGTTTGTTGAATCGAGTCGACTTGACTCGACTCACGAGTGGCGATGATGCACGCACCGAGTTAGAACACGCGACTTTCTTCTTCTTCTTCTTTCTCCACCAGAGTGTGACGATGCGGAACTTACTTGAATTTTTGGTTTTTGTATTACATTCGATGAAGACGATATTGATGCGTGTCTTTTTCGTTTTTGGTCGATCAATGGTCGGCGGTGGAAAAAAAAGGGTGGAGCGGGCATCCGGTGTGTAGGAAGCGATACCATTTCATTGTAAGGAGGTCCAACGAGACCAGTCTCTCCCAAGGCAAATGCCGCAAGTGTTGCTCCAGATGCGGCAACACCTACCTCTTGTCCGATTCCAGGTCTCTGTCTCTGTCTCTCTGTGGGCAAAGCCCCTCCGATTCTATCTTTCGTTGGGGGTCTTTTCTTGTTTTCTTTTTGACGTTGTTGATGTTGTCATGTTTGTCTGAATGTGTGTGCGCGTGATTGATTTGGTGTGAGCAGGTGCAAATGGTGCGACTGCGTGATAACGTCGGAGGATGTGGAGGAGTGGGTGTACTCGCAGCTGGAGAGCAACACCCATCTCTTGCACGGGGTCATTCACTCCAACGGCTTTGGTCACTTGCTCTCCCTTAACGGCCGGGAGGGCGGCTCAGCCGTCCTCTCTGGGCGCGACATCATGAACTTCTGGGACGGCCTCTGCACCACTCTGTCCGTCAGGTTCGTCTCCTCTTATCCTCAGGAAATTGGAGCTTTGGCAATCTCATGTGTATACAGACTTATTGACTTTTTCAATTCATCGCTTTCCCTTGGTGGCACCATATTCATCTCTTTGACTCGATGAACAGGAAGGTCAGCGTGATGGATGTGTCGAAGAAATATGGGATGGAGTGTCGATTGCTGCATTCGATCGCTCATGGCCACTCTTGGTATGGCAACTGGGGCTATGAGTTCAGTGCAGGTAGCTATGCACTGACGCTTGACGCGTACAAGAGAGCCATCGGCTCGCTATCTAGCATGCCCCTGTCGCCCCTTCTATTCCACAGCCGGAAGCCTCGGACTTCCTTGCAGAGAGTCATTGCTTTCTACCTAGCCATAGCCGAGACCGAACTCCTAACGCTACAAGACCTCTTCGCCCTCATGTTGGGTCTAATCTGTGAACAAGGAGGGGTTTCTAAGGAATCGCCCAAGAAGAAACCTCGAACTTCGAAGGTGTTATGTGCTTGGTCTCTTGACGAAGTCGAACGTGTGGAGCAGGCTATGGTGAGAGTCTTGTTAGCCGCGGTTGGTGAGGCTGGCTGGGTGAAAAGGTCTGCTCTTAAGGGTGCCTTGTATAAGTCTGCTTCTCCGGAGCTTCTTGATTATTGCCTCAAACACTTAGGAGGGAAATCAACGGCCAATGGGATGGTCGTCCAGACCCGTTGCAACAGCACAGCGAGTGCTGTTGAATTCAGGTAAGCAAAGCGATGATAAGGTTTCCTATCTTAAGTTTTGTCTTCAGCGGTTTGCAGTTTGTGTTTTCTAAATGAGATGATATGTCAGGCTCGAGACTCCGAGTCTTGGATACGACGGATCTCGCTTCCAACTTAGCCACCCATCGAGAGAGCATGTGATTCGCGACCTTAAGTTCCTGTACAGTTCTTTAATTTTTCCAGAAACAATGGTAAATTATAGACCTCAGGCAACAAGAGAGCGTGTGCGTGATTCGGCAGCAAAGCTTCTGGATTGCAAACAATTTATGAAGGATTACTCATGCTATGAAAAGACGGTTAAATCCCCGCTTAACATTCACCTTTGGTGTCATGTGGAGCTCTCAGACCATTCTAAGGATGAATTGCACCTCCCTCGGGAACTAATTGTGTTGCCCTTGAATGCAACTGTGGCTGACCTTAAAGCCGAAGTCACAAAGACATTCCAAGATGTGTATGCAATGTTTAAGTGGTTTCAAGCGGTGGGTTTCCCGGAATATGGCCTCATCGAAAATTCTCTCTCTGTTAAGCTTTTGACTGGTTTAAATGGGTCTGTTCGGGTTCATGGTAAATGCCTCTCGATGCATGGGCTCAACCGTTTTCGGATGGAGAGGGGGATAGAGAACTGGACAGTGGATTGTGTCTGCGGCGCCAAGGATGATGATGGGGAGAGGATGTTGGCTTGCGACACGTGCGGGGTTTGGCAGCATACCAGGTGTGCTGGAATTGACAATTCAGACTCTGTCCCTTCGAAATATGTTTGCACGACGTGTTTGGACTCGTCCATTCAAGCAAGGAAGGCATCAGGTTATGGTGGTAACACCACCAATATGGATTTTTCTATTTTGGGCGCAACTTGCAGGGTTCAAGCAATGCTAACTGATGATCACAAAGTTGGAAGCAATGTAAATATGTCGTATGGTGTACCCTGAGTGTAGATGTCATGTTGTATATTTAAGCGGACATGCAGTTTTGCCACCCTGAATCAGCAATATGAGCTGCTGTGATGAATGGCCTCATGATCGGACATTTTTGTAAAGAATGAAACAGATGTAAAGAGAGTACTTAGCAAGCAATGTTTTATCCTGTGAGTTGCGGACAGATTATGCTTGTCAACAAAATTGTATAGTACAATGGCCAGGAAGGGTATAATACCTACCTGTTAAACCGCTAAAATGTTTGATACATTATTCGCCTCTTCCTTCGATGCTTTCTTTGCCTTTGCGAATGCTTGTCTGAGGTGGCTGGGCAAACAAGCCACCAGTTCCCTCCAAATGATGAAATTCCGGTTTTGACAAAGAAAGCTGCCTAAATGCCTCGCTTAGATGTGTGTACTTGTTGACTACATCCTTGTATATGCCTAGCAGTCTTTCGACATCTCCAACTGTAAGTTCACCAGCTTTTGCTTCCATGAATGGATAAGTTGAACGTCCTACAATGGTTATAAGCAGCTTATAAGTAATAAAGGCAGTTGCAAAGCGAGCAAGAAAATATATGGAGTGCTTAACTTGGGATATGCAAAATCTAGATAGCAAAGCAGGAACATGAAAAAGTACATAACAATCCCTTCAGAAGAACTTCAAATGAAACATGAAATACCATTCTATGCTGAGCTTACCCTTCATAATTCTTTCTTTATCACTCATTGTGAACGAAGGACCGGGGTTGCCCTGTCTTCTCCTGGCAGCCATCTCCTCAACTGCAGTGTCAGGCTCGTCATGTGCAAGTTTAGTGGCTCCTCTAGCTGCTTGCATGTTTTCCTCAAATTCAATTTCATTGATAGATAGAGATCTGGCATTTAAGTCAGCAATAAATGACTTTGCTGAGATGAGATTTGTGAGATAGTAAGCTGCCTCAGAGACAAGTTTCGCCTGTCTTCGATATAGCTGAATAAATTTGAGGTTGGAATGCAGCTGTGGAGGATTAGCCTGCCAACAAAGAATTATTGTCATGAATACAGGAAAAAGCATCACTTCAAAAGTGAAAAGAGAGGATTTTAACCAAAATGTATGATCTTTTATCTAATCGTGTAGACTAACTACCAAGTATCATCGGCGACAATCTTCTATCTTATCTACAATGACTGAAGTTACAGAATCATTCAAAGAGTAATAATATGATAAGTCGATCCGAGTAACTTCATCTCAGTCTGACATCACAATTTTTTTGAGGACCACCAAGAACCAATAGGGAAGTCATTAAGCGGTAGCATAGCATGGATGCTCAGGATACTTGACTCGTTTGTTTGGGTGAGCTCTAGGATAATATCTAGGAAGATACTGGCCAGATATTAGGCCGCCTACACCGCAGGATAAAATTTCTCAAGGGGAGGAGAATATAAAGATGCAGTTCCTTCGTAACCAGCAACAGCTCAGAAGGTGGTTACATTCAACTGGAACTATATCTCCTACGTTTAGGCGGTCTGCTAACATTCTGGAGGTTTATGAAAGCTGGTCCTTTTAAGTTTTGACAGCATCTGGAGGTAATCTTTCAATTGTTCAATCTAATCAATCGTGATCCATTGGGATACTTGAAAGCATCACAACAAGTCGGGATGATTATAATCACCGTAATAGGAAGACCGACAAAAACAAAAGTTATCAATTGAAAGAAAAGCTTCTAAAAGTCTGACCGTGAGGTGAGACTATGTCTTACCCATATTTTAACAGCGCCTCCATTGATAAAACCATAATAATCAATTTCATTGAACAAGCATACTTCCCTTTTGATTAATGTCATTGAACAAGCAATACTAATTCCATTTTAAAACTCGTCTTTTAATCAAGAATAGCTTATGATAAGTGACGAACTGCACTCATGTTTACCAGGTATTTAGAAAAGAGTACTTCCCTTTTAATCATACACACATACTCGACAATAAGTACATATATATAAAATAAAATATTTATTGGCAGAAAATATTACCAATAAGAGCTTGCCTTGAGCGTAACGTATATAAGAACTGGAAGAAAGTCATCGGCCCCAGCTAGTACATGATTTTCTGATATTGATGCATTGAGCAGCAAATTGTTGATGACCCTACAGCAATTCATTATGCACAGAAGCTTCTCCCGGGGAGCATGGAACCTGTTCATTTTTTGCAGCTCCTTCTCTGCAAGCTGGAAAGCACAAAAATTATAGCACTAGAAGTATTAGGGAAGCAAATGCAGTTATAATGATGAGCAGTCTAAGACCTGATATAAGTTTGAATTTAACCCATACTCAAAATAGTTGCTAATGATCTGATTCCAGGATTTTCCTCTCTGAAGCAGAAAACTATTAGTAAAGAGGAGTCAATAACAGCAATGTCTAAGCCTTTGCTGTAATGACCAAAACAGAAAAAGGAATTGGCCATAACTACGGCTAGAAGTCATTTTTTATAGTACGGTGACTTCATAAGGGCAGACTTAGGAGGGATTTGTGCTGTCCAACACCTTATCAAAGCCTCTAACAGTGCAACAATGACGTGCTTTTTCTATCTCTATTTATTGATCTTAAAACTGTCGGTATTGTTGTGGGGGACATTTAAAGTCATCGCCCCTTGTGGCCCTATTTCAACTAACAATCTTCTTTGATCCTTTTACCTCCTCAACAATCACATAAAACTATTAGTTGAAGAGAACCAGAGGACGTAAACAATTGAGCACATTGAAACAATAAAATTAATGAACCCATACTGGAATAATCATGCAAATCAGCAAACTGAAATAGTTTCAGCTTGGTTTTAGTTTTTCAACAACTATAAGAAAGGCAAAACTAAGGTAGATATTTTACGAAAAGAGGGAAAACACAAAACAGCTAAGATCTTCCAGGTTCCAGGGAGTATCTATATGGAAACAATCAGGGTTCCTATTAATATCATGTATTGAGTAACACGCATAGCAAATTTCCAAGAAAAAAGCAGTAGTATCACACATACCAACCATGACGCTTCATTTCTGAGAATAGCCGGTATATCTAAATGCTCAGGCCTCAAGAAGGTCTGCAATAGCGAAATTTTCTCAGCAATCTCCCAGTCAACTTTTGAATCCTCAGGAGAAGAAGCAAATGTCCGAGAGAACAGCTTTGTCATGACATATTTTTCCAATCCCTGCATAGTACATAAGAGTGGAGGTTACAGAAAAAAAAAAAAAAAAAGAATATCAACTATAGAAGTGAACAATATGTATTAGTTTTGAGCAGACTCGGAATTGAACATAGTATGCCTCCAGATTTCATAATTATAAGCACCAAGCTCATCCATCTGTTTAATAATACCTAGAAGACATTCAACTTCCTTTCATAAACAAATAGTGAACATAACAACACGAGGTATCCCAAAGTGAACTTTGCAATCAGGCTCTAAAGCTAAACTCAAGCTATTCCTAACAGAACGGTCACAGTGGACTTTTGAACTCAATCATCCACATAAACTGACCCGCAATTTTAAGTGGATGGCAATATAATATCTTTTGATCAACAAAATAAAAAAGAGGATAACTGAAATACATTACCTCCATTGCACAGTCGATTTCATTGTCAGAAGCACCTGCCCAGAGAGGATGATCCCTTAATGCACCTTCCATCGTCATAAAGAAGTCTTGCACTTTTTTGCCATCATTTTCAGGATTTGGAGGATAAAACGAGAAGGATACAATGAAGCTGCAAAAAACACATTCAATGAGGTAAAAGAGTTAGAAAACTTTGGAAGAAGTTGCTCAAGGGAGTAGGGTCTATCTGGAGTAAACTGCAACCTCAAAACAGGAGCCAAATCCATCAAAAGGCACGTCTCTTACTGCGGAAGCACTAAGAAAACGAATGCTTCATAATTAAGATGAGAAGTACATGATGCTAGAAAGAAGCTTTCATCATGCCGTTCTCTCAACTCTAGTCCTATGAATGACAGACACCTGATATCCAAAACTGAAGTTAAGCTAATCGATGTACCAAAAACTATCTGTTGACGATTTAAGAAAACAATTGATCCAGGCAAGCTATTGCGGATGTTTTCTTTGAAAGTGATTAACCTTCTTCTAAAGTCTCTTTCTTTCAATATCCATTGGGCTGGTATCAGTCCTCCCTTAATACTTTCCTTGGACAAAAAGCCTCAGTCGAGTACGGTCGGGTGCAACTTAGGGTACTAGTAGCACAAACTATAGGCAAGTTGCAATGCTGGTTTACTCTAGATGCAACACGTGTGTTCCTCCTAGTCTGTTGGACGAAAAGCTAAAAAACACACCCAGAAAGCAAAAAACAGTCTGCACCAAGAACTACAAGGACCCACATTACAGGTAACAGAGAAGAGGTTCCTGTCAAAAAGTTAAGCCCCCAAAACCCCCTAAGAGAGTTCAGCTTGACCTAGGAACATGAAACATTATTCAAATAACATTCACGGGCTTCTCCAGTGCTCCTAATCACTCCTGTCCTACGCAATTCTATCACAAACCACTGAACCATGAGCAGCAGAACATGCTAAACTCGGCATTTTGCTAGAAGTTAGTCCAGCAATACGGTAAATCAAGGTACAGAGAAGGCGAATGTTTCCAAAAATCAAAGGCTTCCACAGTCGTCGGCTTTTGACCGATCCAATCGCTCAAACTCACGACGAATATCATAACCACAAGTACCAGAAAAAGACAAACAGGAATCAAGAACTACGACAAACTAAAATCGAAAAAAACAAACATGCTTCCACAAAATGAACTCTGGTTAAAAACGAGCAGACTGTGCAAGTACAGATTGAGCTGAAACTGCCACTGGAATCGCGAGAGAGTGAGGGAGGGAGGGGATGGACCTCTTGATGGATCGAACGAGATCGAGAGAAGAAGGGTTGCGCATCCTGTCGAGGAAATCATAGAACTCCATCGAGGACGGAGACGCCAGCGACGGCGGCGGCGGCGGGGGCGGCGGCGGCGGCGGGGGGGTCGGCTCCATGCTTTCAAGCTTCGCAGCTTCGAAGGCCGAGACAGGAAAAAGAGGAGAAACAACGCCGGAGGCTTCCGAAATTCACCGGTTCGGAGAAGGCGAGAATGGCGCGGGAAGCAACGAGCTCCGATCGCTCTTCCTCTCCTCCGCCGCCGTCGAAGTCGGGCCGCACTCGCGATTCTGGTTTTTTGATCGGATGCTGAGGAGATCAGACTTTGCGAAGAAGAAAAGAATACGGTTGAGACCGATGGACCAGAGGAAGACTGTTAGGTTCGGCACGTGACCCGAGCCGTGCCTTTCGAAATCACGGCGTGCTTAAACGCGATAATGACCCAAACAGTCCTTAAACTTTAGCTCGATGTATAATTTGATTCATAAATTTTTAATTTATTCAATATAGTTCTTGAATTTTTAATTTGTTCAACGTGATCCTTGTACTATATGAAATTTGTTTAATGTAATCTCTGAACTTGAATTAATGAAAGAATTATATTGAACATTTTCATATAAAAAAGTTCGAGGGCGACATTGAATAAATTAAAAGTTCAGGGACTATATTGCACACCTGGTTAAATTGAATGATCAAATTAAAAGTTAAAATATCACATTGTATATTGAGCTAAAATTCAGATGCTGTTTGTGTTGTTTTTCCCTAAATAAACAAGGGAGAAAAAGAGAGGCTCTTATTGACTTTTTCATGAATTCCAAGACTTTTATCTTGACCTTATAAAAACCATATGATGATTTCTTGATGACTTTGCTTAAATTTTTAAAGATTAAGAATCCGTCAGTTTCGCAGATAATGAACGATTTTGAAAATTAGTTTCTTAACAATAGCAGTTTGTATTGCTTGAAATGATTAGCTAAGTAGAAAGATTTTCATTATCGACGAACATTCATTCAGTTTTATAAGCGATATAAATGATCGTTTTTAGGAAAATAATTATCAAATCATTCATTTTCTCCGAAACAAAATGGAGCTTAAGAGATGATCAATAGCCTCACCTTTTTCTAAAAAAGCTAAAAACATAAAAAAAAAGCAATTAATAAGTCACTTACAATGGACTAACCTTGTGTATATATAATCAAACTAGTCGTGAACCTGTATTTTACACAGCACTTAATTATGCATGTATATGGTCATAAAGTATTTTTTTGTGAGAAATAAAATAAGTTGGTAATTAAAAAAATCATAGAAAAGTCAAATATCTAACTCAAATAAGAATAGGGTTTTTCGCGATATCAGTTGGTAATTTGATCGGAGATAAAGCACCTTAATCTTTAACGGGCTCTTAAGTAAGGCAAATAAAAATTGGTTACTCTATTAAATGTCAATAAAATTTTTTAAAACAAATCAAAGTGACGTTGGTAAGCAACTTAAATGAGACTCGGTAAACCAAAACTAGTTAAGTAACCTAATAGGAGAAAAGTTAGTAAGTCATACATATAAAGGTTGGACATATAAGAGTTAATAAATATAAGATGCTTGTAAGATAGACAAATAAAATTTAATACATAATATCATAAGTTCATAAATTGAAAAAACTATATAAACGTTATGAAGTAATTTAAATGCTAGTTGTTAACCCAAAATCAGTTGGTAATTTAATTGGAAAAATAGTTGGCAAGTCATTCATATACAAATTGGTAAATTCACAAAAGAGTCGGTAAATTTAAGGCATTTGCAAGAAAGACAGATAAAAATTGATAAAAAAGAAAAGTTGGTAATTCACAATCGTTAAAAATGGTTAGTAATTGATGAAAGTATCAATAAGTTACTAACAAATTATACCGAAAACGAGATGAGCGGTAAACTTTTTTGACTAAAAATGTTTTTCCACTCATGAACTTTTTCAAAGGAGAAAGATTCCTTTCTTTTTTATCCATCTATATCTACTACTGCAAGCCCTTGTCATTTTAGTTCAGCAAGAAATGTCCAGCTGCGTGAATGATGCTGACGATGAAACTCAGCAAAATTCTTCCCAGGACACTCTCACTTCTATCGTTAAACCATTGCAGATTGTGGAATTTTGAACTTCTCCATCACATATTTGAGGAACAATACTGTTATTGCATTCATCAACCATTTTTGCATCCGAGGCTGATCCGATCTGAGCAACGTCTTCCTGGAATCACGGCCATGTTCTTCCCCCCGAAAACCGGGTTTCCTTAAATAAAATGCAACAAAGCTGCATGGTTCATCGCCCTGGTTTGCTTACAGAACACAGAGACAGAGAATAAATAAATGCCTCCTGGAATCACAAGTCAATATACTGTGCACAAGGTTGGAATTTGCAGTCCATGTACTAACTCTTCGCCCAAAGGCTATTCCCAATCACTAGCCACACAATGCAATGGCAGAAAGTTCAGAGTCATCTGGGTTAAAACTAAAAGAGCCCGTGCATCCCAATCTACTTGTAGAGGTTGTACATATCAATCGATCAGAGAGCTACTTGGACATCCAAGAGGAACGAACCCCGCCTTGCCTTGGCATGAAGTGCTAAAGCTGAACCGTATTGGATCCTCGAAAGCAACGCAGTGCCTTCTCTTCAGTCTAGTCGCCGGAAATTTCCAACTGCGAAGTGTGGCAAAACTGGATGCTCACTAAGCTACAGTAATGTCGCTGCAAGAGTCGATGATCTCTTCCCATTCATTGATGTAAGTACAGGCCTTCTAGCATGCTTGGAAGTCCTATAGCACAAGCTACATACCTCATGGATTTGGCCACCCACTTGCAAACCAATGACTTTGGACTTTCTGCAACTTTAATTAAGCTCATCACACACTCTTATAAATTCAATTCTGTATTTTCAACCGTTACCATTCATCAAATCCTTATTCTCGCTCGCAATGGACCTATTGAAAACTCGTAATCTGATAAAATTTCTAGAAATCAGCATTTGAGGATTCTTTGAGCACTCCTTTGTTCAGGAGTGTCGCGACCTCCCTAAACCGGCCCCGCCGCCTAAGGGGTTAGGCTAATGGATTACTAAGTTAAACCTAGCTCGAGCTCTCCCAAGCTCATACCAATTCGCGACTTAAGTTAAAGTTATTAACATGGAAATCAATTTCACCTAGGAGTCGCCACTAATCAGTTTTTGGTGGGTCGATTAGATACCCAAGCAAAGCAGGGGAGAAATGCTTTACTTCTACGAACCAGAGATTCAATGGGTACGGGGACTTGATTACACTAATTGACCAACTAGTGCCCTTTCGGTACCTAATCTTGCTCAATTCACCACCTAACGTGTTCACACTAACTGGGAGTTTAAAAAATTCATTCCTAACCAAGCTAAGGGAAGCAACAATCACTACATGAACCTAACATGCATAATCAACCACATGCGAGTTTAAATTAAACATGCAATTCAAAGCGTGCGAATCAAGCGAGGAGCAATCAAACATACGCTAATCACACAAAAAGGGAGAGAAAAGCAATTCTGAAGCCCAATTTCCAATTTTTGGATTTTCGAAATTTTTCTATTTTTTTTTTAATTTTCGTTTTTTATTTAAAAAAATAATAATTCCCTAAATCGGCCTATGCTCGGTTTACGTGAACATGAAACAACTCAGAATATGAATATTACGAGAACCGGGCTCAAATCAACCGTTTCAAGATCGAAACTTGGTTTGGGCATTTCGTCGAGCATTTGGTGTGCATTAAAATGCCCCAAATGGCTTCCTCGAGCCATATTCGTGGCCTTCAATCTTACTCCGTGTGTAATATCAAGTGGAACCAAAGTATCAAGGTTATATTATCACATGCAAAGAACAAGATTAGCTAGAAATCACAACCTAAAACGCACGAGAACCAAGTTGGAATCGGCCTCCAATATGTGGGTTCGGGCTGCTTTTGCAAATTTGGGTTTAAACCCAGGTCAAGCAAACCTGTTGCATGCCCAGGTTTAAGCCCCGACACTCATCACGTGCAAGATCTATGGGAAACATCACTTCATCTGAGAGAATATACGTAACATCTACTTTTAAATGAAACAAACATCATGGAGAATGATCAAGCGAACACGTCGAAACAACCCCCCCAAGAAGCATACATGCATGGTTCATAATGACTAGCCATGAATCAATGTGGGTTAGCTTGGCTTTTGACTCAAGTTGCAAGCGATCTCATGGTTCACACGGGGCTTCAAAGACCAAACCAAGTGGATCTCAGCCTAATTTGTACACCCATATAACATTCATCAAGCTCACGAAGGTAGAAAACGCATGCAAAGAGGAGTAGCAAGTCAAACATTTAGGGCTCATGAAGGAGCTCTAACACTTAGAAAAATTCCAGCCTCAGAAATCAGTTCTCTGGGCTGGTTTTCTCTTGATTTTTTCATAACTAAAACATATTCAAAATTGAACAAAAATACATGTAGGATACTCACCTTGCTTCCTAGTTTCTCTTTGAAGTATCCCTTGGCCGAGGGAACCAAAAACCTGTCTTCCAAGGGCGCGGGGAACTAGGCTTCTTCAAACTGGAAAATGAGATCTGCAAAGAAGGAACTGACAACGAAGGTTTTTGTTGGTCTCCAAAACCAGAATCAACGACCTCCTTTTCTGACTAATTTGACACTAACCCAAACTAGATGTATTCTAGTTTAATTTTCAAGTCACAGGTATCCTCATATATTCCTCATGTCTCTCAAAAACTCCCACTTTCCCTCACCAGTAACCGTCTGACTTCAACACTTAGAAGATTTCTGGGTTTCTCTCTTGACCCGAGAATGGGCTGCTTTTCGAGGGGATTTTGGGTGGCTTCCCGACATCCATTTGGGGCGTGCGACCTATGGTTGGAAAGCTCTTTGAATCTAGTTCCACTCTCTAGTTGAAGGTTTTGGCTAATTTTGGCTCCAAGTTTACGAAAATCTCACTTTCCTCTCCAAAAGTCAGTCTGGAACTTTTCTGGGTTTATGCTTTTTTTGAGTTGCGTCTGAGGGTGAGTTTTTGGAACGACCGTGAACTCCCTTCCTCTTGTCTCATCCCTTTATTTTTATCCCCCAAAAGAACGTGCTTCAGAGATCCTATCCATCAAATCCAACCCGATTTTTAGCCCGTGATTGCCCACTTACCAAGCCTGCAAACTGAGTCTCTTCACCAACTTTCTGACTCCAGAATCATCATAATTTGCAGCTGTTGAGTGAGCAGGTTTGACTGAGATTATCACGTGTCTTCAGCAGCTTATCCCTTGCAAATTTTTGTCCATTTGCACTCCTAATGATGGTCTCACACCTCGGCCAGAGTTCACGCTGATCGGCTGGCTGAGTAGGATATGGTGGGGCCACAAATTTGGCTACTCAGCAGCCTCGAATTGAGACCAAATCGTGGACCGGTTTTTGGAAGCTAATTTAAGTGCTTTAATCCATTCATTTGGTCGGAATTTTTGATCAGTTTGAAATTTGAAGTATATTAGTTTAAGATGATAATCAGAATTTGCAATTTTCCATGCCCAAGTTTGCAGGAAAGTCCCTCAAAATTAGCCACTTTCTTGTCCGAGAATGCCCGATTTGAGCCAATTTAGTCCTTTTGGCTTGATCTGATCAATTTTACCTTGCCCGTTTTCAATTTCAAGCTTGATTAGGGGTAAAAATGATGATTTAAGGGCTTGGGGGCAAATTTTACAAATTTTGCGATTTGGTCCCCCAACTTTTGGAAATTGTATTTTGGCCCCAACTTGCTGGTTCATTTGCAATTTGATCCCTCAGGTCTCGGTTAGCTACACTCGAATCCTTGGCCCTTGCTCTTCCGTTTTTTTTTTTTTTTTTATAGAATAATTCCAAAATATTTTTGTGGAAAAACAAGCTCCAATTTTTTTTTGAAAATGATTTTTGGGCAAAAAATTTAGGTGTCAACAAGGAGGCCAAATCAAATGACCATGCAAAATGGGGCACAGTAATTCAAGGCATGAATGCAAACTGTTGCATCTCATTAAGTCAAACTGATCAAAGTTGCACCATCCAATATAATAATCTTGGCCTTTCTTCTATAATAGCTCCATGCAATGAGGCTCTCATCGTGGTCATGTCGGCGTGGTTATTTCTCACTAGCACGTGAAAGTTTGAAATAGCGAGCGAAAGATCGCTTCACAATCCAGTAAGCCTGCGAATTTGGGTTGCTTCCAAAGGTGATTTCGATGATGATTTGACCTTCGAGCATTAAATGAATTAATTCGAAATTGTGTTGTATATTCTTTGTTGTCTCATCGGGTCAATGACGAGCACGATGCTTCCGTTGGACTTCATCCCATTCTAGATGCCATGCGTGAATCCGACCATTTCGTCATGTAATGGCTGGAAGATGATCAATGAGAGATGGACACAAGGCGGGGCGGGACAAGGTTCACGTCCTGCCCCGTCGAGACCTCTACCAGTTAACCTCCGGCCCATGCAAGTCACGGCCCTGCGGGGTGACCTCTTTTCCATGCCCATATCTATGATCAATGCTCAGTGCTTTTTCGATTTACTTTCCCGACGGCTAAAATGCATATTGGATTAATATTGCTTGAAACGTATCGAAGTTACGGTTTTTCATTTGCACAAGTGCAGAATATAAGATCATATTCAACATTAATAATAGACCCTTATATCACAATATATCGATTTTATGAACCAGTCTTATTTACTATACCTAGCATTTCTCCATCTCCAAAGAATTTCTATTGTAAAAGTTCTCATATACAGCCTTGTATGTCAATTTTATCTCGAATAATTTCTTTTACATAACTATTATTCATCTAATGTAATGATTATAAATTTGGTAATGATGGTTGAATATCAAAGTACAAAGAGTAGCACGTTTCATAGCACGTAAAACGATAGAACTTTGCCGGTTAGAAAGTAGAGCAGAGAGATGGACGAGGGAAGTGGAATGCAACCTCGAGACCCTCAACATGAATTTAGGGTTTAGGCCGTGGACAGACACAATCGTGAGAGCGCACTCAGTTAAAATTATCCTCGTGAATGCCTAATGGATTATGACTTGCTGGCAAAGGAAGAAGGTGGTCAAGGTTTACCGCAACATGAAGTTTTTTGGATGTGGGAAACAAAATATGACTCCAAGTAGGCAAAATTATGTTATTGTTTGGCCTGCATATACGATAAATATACTACGTGGCTAATAGTAGGAGTAATGAGGATCGAATGGACTGTACCGAATTACTTTGAATTTATAAAAAGGGTCGTGTTTTGCTTCGTTCCCGATTGATGGGTTACATGCATAAAGTTCACCCGTATGCAAACTTAACTGAATATATGTTTCTCCTGCATTGACCTCCGCCGCAACTTGCCTCATCGTCGTGACTTGCTGCCTTTTGCCTCGTTCTTGAGCCCATAGGACTAGCCGCCGTGGCCCCGACGTTCGATTCCCGTCGCGGCCATCCTGCATGTGTCCGTGTGATGTTTAGGTGACGTGAAATAAGCTGCAAATGATTTCCCAACCCAGATAGATCGTTGAGAGGCTGAAGCAGGAGAGCATTTATTAGGGCAAGCAGCATTCTAGGGACCAAGTCATGTGGGAGACAAGCTAAGTCTACATTTTACAAAGAGAAAAACCCTACTCACAGCACATCCCTAATAACTCTTACAGAATCAACTCCGCAAGACCATGGGAACCTTTAATATCATATGATATACTATGGTGATATATATTCTCCTGGAGGGTTCAGTGATATCTAATATATAATCATGCAAGAACTAGGATGCGTGCTATTGAATCAAATGTACTAATGCGAAGGTCATACCCATCGCCCCACATGTGCAAGGCTCAAGCTATGGCGACTGCGGCTCCAGCTGTCGATGAGATGTGTCCATCTTGTAGCGCCGCACAAACATTTACCTGATAAAAAGATGGATCAAGATATTTTTCTAAAAGTAATTAAGAAAGTTCGTAACACCTAACACATTCAGTGGTTGATCGGCGCCATGGCCATGCTAAGCTCCAAAAAGCAACTTACCTATGATAAGAACGAAAATCATACCTAATTAAGTTGGGCATGTCTAAAATACATGAGTATCTCGTGAGGGTTGTTCTCTCTATACAACAACAATTTTTCCAATAAGTTAATGACACTAACGTTCATTATCGATAACTTTCAAGTGAATAGAGAAATATTCACGGGATTATTGAAAAAAACAATCCAATTAAATCAAGACAAAGAGCGGGGGCAAACATCTCGTCCGAATTGTCTCGATACGATAATAATTTTGTCATGCAGTAACTTTTAATGTCGACTTTTGAAGTGAATACAACCTTATATAAAGTCTTAATTTGAGTTAACTAGTGTGAATGATCAAATTGATATCCACACACAATAACATTGGCCGTCCAATCGAGCGCGAGAATCCCAAGGACGTTTAGTAGCTGTTTTTCCAAAGGTTGCTTTGAGAGCAATCAAATATCCCCATAATTGAATTCCCTTCTTTATGCCTCGGGATCGTTTAAGGGTTTAATTTAATTCCATTCGGCTCGTTCGTTGCACTTCGACAATGAACAACTCCAATGTCTTACGGTGGCGCGTGGATTGCATGTCTCCCTTTCTTAATTTTGCTGACGTGTATTTCACTTCTTGAATTATTGGTTTTTTTTTCTGCTAGGTATGTATTGTCAATTTCGTGGTCGTATATTTCACTGCACACATCGCTTAATGCGAGGCAGAAGCCACTTAGACCATGTTTTTTCACCACATAGTTACGAAATATTAACGTCTGTAATTGGCTGTGATATAACATCTATCTATTGAAAAAATGTTTTGCTCATGGCTTTCTTTTATGATGAATATCGAAATAATGAGTTCTTGAATTACTAATTCTCGTCCTACTACCTCTTCCGGGCTTGGATCCGGTCTCCATTTGCCGTCTTATGAAAAAGATGATGACGCATTGTCATTTTACGAATGTGCTTAAACACACATTAGGTAAAGAAATTTGGAAATCCTTAACACCTCCAATCACCACTGCCAACGGCAACCCCAATTGTGCTGTCATCACTCTCCTCTCGACGTCCATGCCGAGCGCTTGCTCTCTCTCTCTCTTTCTCTCCATAACTTTGAGGTATTCATTTCTTTATAGTATTGATCTCGAAGTCTAGGTAGAAATTTCTTTATAGTATGGATCTCTCTCTCGGTGAGCCAGCGCTCGTATTAGTCGTTGAAGTCACCTTGTGAGGTATGACACTTTTGCATGAGGTCTGTACATGGGTTTGGCTAAAACTTCGTCATATGTTTACAAAGTGCTAACTCTAAACATTGTGAGATGGGTGCGAAAGGGACATTGAATCTAGTGATACTGAGTATGTTATTCCCTTTTAAGATTTCAATGAAAATGCTGAGATATAAAACCCATATGGTGCTATCTTACATCAACTTTAAGTAATCATAAGATTTCAAGATCAAGTCACTCCTACAGAGTTATCAAAGTGAATGTAAGTTCGCGGTTTGATGTTGGAGGATAACGTAAGAACATTTTGTTTGGTCGATCGAGAAGTACCCTCTTAGAGTTTAACAAAAGAAGAAGACATGCATCGATGGATTCCGAGGTTTGGAGGGAGTGCTGAGATAATAATTTAACCAGACCCAAAGTAAATCCCAACAACGTGTGAGTTGACATTAGCGTAACGTAATTAGGACGATAATCGGTGATGTTGGCGTCCGCCCACGCTCTGCAGGAGCGAGTGAAGGGAGAGGAAATGGGGTTATCCAGCGGATCAATAACTGCAACCTGAGAAATTTCTTCGTCACCGGTCATCAAGCCCTAGGGAGACTTGCTTTACACGATATCTTTAGCCATGCCCGCCGGCGTAGTCACCGGCCGTCAACACTTCCTTTTGCCTCATCGAACATATATAGACCCCCCTCTCTTACGTGCAACTGACATTGCTTGCTCTTGCGCACATTCTCGTTCCCATTTCATTTCACCAGAGTTCATTAGCTGCAAGCATCATCTCTCTCTCTCTCTCTCTCTCTGCAGAATTAGGAAAAAATTTATTCTTGTAAGTCCTCAAAGAGAGATATATTGAAGAGCTTCGCTGCATCGGCTTATCGTTGTGGGGTTTGGCTCTTATGGCTTCGTCCAGCGGCAGTGTGCCTCCTGGGTTCCGGTTCCACCCGACGGACGAGGAGCTCCTTCAGTACTACCTGAAGAAGAAGGTGTCGTTCCAGAAGTTCGACATGGAGGTGATTAGGGAGGTTGACCTAAACAAGATGGAGCCTTGGGAGCTTCAAGGTAATTAATTTAAAGTTAGTTGATCAACATGCATTGGTTTTTGTTATAACCGAGGTTTCGTTTCTCTTTTTCTGAGCTAGAACTAAATCATCGCGCAACTTCGAACCATATGGTTTAAGAATAATTTGACTTAAATCATATATTATTTTATTGGACCATTCATCAATTGGTAAAGTTCTGAGGTGATGGGTTGTTGAACCCAAAACCTTAACACCTCGAACTATATAGTCATTCTCCCTGAATGAGTGGACGACGGTCCAATAGTATCTGTTTTTGGCTCAAAATCCTATGGAACATCGCATCTCTACCAAATAAAGTTAACCCTCACCACAGTTTAATTCCTATTTGGAAATGAATATGTTGCTTATTTAGAAGAATTCTTACATTGACAGAGGAAACTCATCGTATATCTCATAATTCATGTGATTTATAGGCACCCTTTTCGTTAGCACGACAAAAGCCACGTGAATATTTGCTTAGCACTGGCCCAAAATCACGCAAGATTTTCTTGAGACCTCACATGAATTTGGCTGTTGTGTATACACAGCAAGAGTAACTTCTTGCTTGCATGAATCTAGGGCTTGTCTGTGGACCGCCTTAGTCGCTTTTTTCCTAGGGCGTACATTATTATTGACGAGGAAGAATATAGTTTTTCGTAATATAGTTACCAATATACAAGAGCACCTCGAAGTCAGAGTACAGTAGAAGTCAGCTTAAGCTGTGCATCAGCACTCCACAGGATCTGTAGTTGGGCTTGGGGGAAGACATTCCTTCTTTAACTAGTGCAATGGGAAGAGTATTTATCATGGCCGCATTTGCTGATTGCAAGCACTTAGTTTACTATTTCCATGATCAAACTAGTCATCGCTCTCAAAGGGAAAGCAAGAAGTTTGCTTCCCCGTCAAACAATTGAAATTTTATCCGAATTTCAGAAAATTGTGAAAAGACTATATGTTAATCTACATGTCAACATTTGAGTAGTCATGAAAGTCTCAGAAGTTTCGAATTTGAAAAAAAAAGTCAAAATATGTATGTCGCGAGACTTAGATTAAATAGAAAAGGGCAATGTAAAAGTCAATTTAGATGGGATTTTTTCATCTACTTGGAAATGCATGAACAGGTTTTCTAGGTGACTTAATCGGTCAGAGTTTGACCAAGAACCCGCCAAAACGGTAGAACTAGGTTGACCCAGATACTTCTCCTCCATTTAATTACTGTCTATGAATTTTGAGAGCGAAATCTTCCAGTCCTGTTGCATGTAACCTTACAATTACCCTATGCTAACTCTTATAGGAGTTGTATTATCCTATGAAGGGGAGTACAAATTTTCATATAGACCGACTCTATAGGACAAGCTTGCTTGACAGTTTCCAAAGACGATAATCCACGTCCATATATGTATATTTATTTACATTAGTCAATGCAATCTCTCTCTCAAATGTAGATTTCAAGTGAGTCAACCGCCCATCCTTCTCAAGATCTAGTATTTATAGTACTTCATGTACCGTCAATTTTGGTAATTAATTTTACTTTCTCGTGGTTGCACCCATAGAACGATGCAGGATCGGATCGACGCCCCAGAATGAGTGGTACTTCTTCAGCCACAAGGACAGGAAGTATCCAACCGGCTCGAGGACGAACAGAGCGACGAATGCAGGGTTCTGGAAGGCGACGGGGAGGGACAAGTGCATAAGGAACACACACAAGAAGATAGGGATGAGGAAGACCCTCGTCTTCTACAGGGGACGGGCTCCCCACGGCCAGAAGACCGACTGGATCATGCACGAGTACCGGCTCGAGGACGGCGATGACCCCCAAGGAAACTCTAATGTGAGTTTCCACTTCCTTAAGCTCTCTCCCTCTCTGCCTTTCTTATCGTGATGTGCAATTTATCTGCATCCCATATTTCTTTCTGTGATAAGCTGTGTTTACGTGATCTTTTCCAAACAATTATTTAGGTAGTGAGGTATAAACTTACGAACATAAGTAGACCTCGGCATGCAAAAATAATTCATACTTTCATGGTTACGATCATGCGCGATAAGAGTTAGTTAAAATGAAATCGAAATCTCACGCATGCCGAATTTGTTGATCTCCTGGATGCTCCATTGCCAGGAAGACGGGTGGGTGGTGTGCAGGGTGTTCAAGAAGAAGAACCTCTTCAAGATCGCTGGCAATGACAGAGGAGGTCAAACCAGCGCCGGCTCCGACCAAAATCACCACCACCAGCAACTCAGCATCAACAGTACGTCCAACGCAACCGCCCATCAACCTCGCTCCTTCATGCACCGAGACCACAGCCTCTACCTCCACTCCAACCACCTTGGCCCATCGACGGCCTTCGAGCTCAACAAGCCCGAGCTTGGCCTCCACTACTCCTCCTCCCACCACCTCCCTCAGTACTCCCTCTTCCCTTCCTCGCAAGCCCTGATGCCGACCCCGAAGCCCATCGGGTACCACGACTACACGGCCCTTCAGTCAACAGATGCAGTGGCGCCGCCCGTGATGCTGAAGCAGCTCATGTCGAGCAACACGAGGGATCAGTGCGAGAGCGGGAGCGACAGCTTCAGGTACCAGAACTGTGACCAGGGCCTTGAAGTAGGGACGTGCGAAGCGACGCAGGAACAGATGGTCGGAGCGAGAGACGAAGCGGGCATGAGCGATTGGGGCATGCTCAGCGTCACTAGCGGTGCTCATAGTCAGCTTGGGAACCATAACGAAGACGATTCCGGTTCGAAGGGTGTGAGGTTTGAGGACGGGACGGCCACGACTTCTCTGCACCCGATCAACCATCTGTCCTTGAGGGGCGAGATGGACTTTTGGGGTTACGGCAAGTGATCGCTTTCTAATCTGCATGGTGCTACTGAAGTAAAGTAAAACAACTTCATTGAAAAATATGGATTCAACGAACCAGTTTGTCCATAATGGTTCTCAGCATGTCTAGATTTATGCCACCACCCAAATTGGGTAGGCAAAAATTAATCATTTGCTGCATTCACCCTTGTTCTTGTTGTCTTCATCATGCATGTGACACTGATAAAGTGAAGATTGTTGTATTACTGTATTGAAACTTTCCTGGTTATGCGTTCGCCCGATTAATACCCTACGTGTGTCTATACATTCAGACAGTAGCTGCACGTTTTTATACTTTGCCACGCACAGTAGAGTCGGCGGGAGAAGCAAATGATGTCTCATGTTAAAACTGATTGACAACGTTAAATTTTCGTCCAGGCGCAAAATGGCAACATAGGATTTGAGATGTTTGGAAAGTGAGGTAGTTGTTGTATGAATAACTAGAAAAGGATCTATGCACATATATATTGGTGATAGATCGCACATTAAATAGCGAGCCCTACTAGTTCATGTGGCTTTCGCGCACTTATGATGAACCAAGCTTTCACAGAATGACTCCAACTAGTAGCAGTAGCCTTCCTCTCTCAGAGACGGCCGCAATCGTAACGAGTGTGGCCAATTTTATCTGAGAAGTGAATGATCATGAACAACACTATCACAAGCTTGATGATCCCTGAGGAACTACCTAAGATCGACCCAATAAAGAAAGTCTCCATGGTCAGCCAAAACACTCTTGCCCTACGCTCCTTACTATACTGTTTAAATGCTTCCTCAACCGCGGACTTCTCAAATGATAACGATGTCTCTCTCAGACCACGATCGTCGTCGCCGGATAGCTTAATCTTCTCAGCCAAGCACCGAGCAAGCACAACCGCGTCCTCCAACGAGGCAGCACCGCCTTGCGTGAGAAATGGGGCCATTGCGTGCATGGCATCCCCGGCCACCACGATGGCGCCTTTCCAAAAGCTTCTTCTCAATATCTCCCACAGCGGACGATACCGTATGTCCGTGTATTGGACTGTAGATAGGTCGCTGTCTGACACCATTTGTATTGCTTCAATTGGGAAATCATTCATTGCTTTCACGATCAAACTTTTGAGGAGCATTGGATCTTTTGCAAGCGTTACCCTGGATTCTAATTCCAGAAAACTTGTAACCATTAGAAAGGGTTTGAATTTTCACATGGACCACGTAAAATTTGATGTCCAATTTATTTTCTTGTTCTACTTACTATAATGTTTGATCGCTTGTTTTCGCAACATATTCCATGAGAAAAGAATCAGCAGAGAGAGCGCAAGACATAATACCTGGAGAAGTCCACTTCCGAATCACGAACCAGTAAACCAAGTGATCATCCACGGGAAGCCACCCCAGGTGAAGTCCATCTTTGCTCATGAAAACGAACTCGTTTTCACGTCCATGACCATTTTCATACCTAGTGAACCTTCTTGTTACATATATTGAGTAAAGCCCGGTTTTTTTCAATCCGACAATACTCGCAACAACAGAGTGCACACCTTTGCATCCAATTACAATCTGAAATTCGATCAGATATGAACCGTAGGACCAAAGAAAGCCGTATTGAGCGACGAAAAGAAACATCGATCGAAGCGTTCGGTGTTTTAGTGGATGAACCATAGACGAAAGAGACTATAAATTAGGTCATGTGTAGTTCTTAGAACATCACCTTGGCCTTGATGGTACCACCATCATCGAGATGAAGGAGAGGACATGATGAAATTGGATCCAGTTCAACAGAGACTACACGACATCCGAATCTTATAGTGTTCGATGGCAAGTCCTCAGCCAATACATTGATGAGATCCATTCTTCTCAAGCACCGTACTTCTCCTCTGCAAACAAAAATTATGAATACGAACTAGCTGAATACTTGATATTCGATTTGAATCGTGCGTTTAAACCCTAATAAATCGGTCTGGATAAGCTCTTAATCAAGCAATTTCAATGGTAATTTACTGCTCTACTAAACACACGAGACAGGTATTCGAAAAGGTTTCTCTTTAAACAAGAAGAGTATAGATGTTGTTGATTATGACTTACCCAAGGGGGATAGGTTTTTGCTTCCCATCCGTGATGGCTACGAAGCGGCCGCTGGGCATTCGGCTTAATGCATTAGCATTGGAGAAAATAGATACTGTCCGAAACATAACCAATACTCTAAGCAAAAGACAACGATCAAAACTTACGATTCAATGGCATTGGCTGTTTTCCGGAGCTTCGAGGCGACTCCTAATTGATCAAGCGCCCTCCAACCATTTGGCTGCATGATTATGGCTGCTCCAGTCACCCGGAGCGTCTCCGATCTATCTAACACCAAGCTTTGTATCCCCTTCCTGCATTTGGTAGTAAATACAGCTTTGACATTCACGGAAAACAATCTTGTAGGTTAATATAAGTGCATCCAATGATTTCGACTTTCTTCGCATTCATTCTAATTCACGTAGCTTCACTTTTGCCATACCAAATGATTGATTGGTCACAACATTTGTTGGTCGTTCAAACATTGGAGTTATGTTCGACTCTCGACGTTGCTATACTTTTTACCGCACTGTCGATTTGCCGTCACGGCTCATGGTGAGGACTATCTGAAATGCGCTCTCTTTTTTCTGTACATTGCCATTAGATATCCGCACGAGCCATCAGCCACCGCGAAAAAGTGGCGGCACCGAACACTGAATCTATCCTTAAACGTAGAAGTTCTCGATCCAATTAAAACTGACGATCGAAGTTTGAGTGGTCATGAGAATCCGCAAAATCACGTTCAAATAATTTTCGAAGGTGTATCATATGCGCAGATAATTATTATATACATCGTCGGCGAAAGAGAAATTCTCCACAGGTGGCCTTCTTCATCTTTTGTTAGTGGTTGTAACTCTCCACTCTCACGAACCATCTCATCAACAGTTTGTGTGTGTATACATATGTATAAAGCAGTCTATGAAGATCTCCAATCCATTGCTAGGGTATGCAAGATGAGTCTTTCAACGGGAATTGTGTCAAAATGGTTTGTGGGATGTAGAGATACAGATTATAAGATTGTGTATGGAGACTCTGTGCTGAGGATAAAAGAGCATGGCTTTAGGTCATTTAAGTTGCCCTTAAAGGTCTCTCATCTAGATAAAGTATACGTGTTAACAAAAAAGTCCACTATGTACAACTTTTAGTGACGGCGATACTTTTCGATAAATTACTTACGCTCGAGAGTGAAAGGATAATAAATTGCCGTAAGCTATCGAGCCAAAAAAAAAGAGAGAACCGGAGTCGAAAGCCGAACTGAAACTGTAAGAAGCCCATTGTTTTACTTACTAGTCGAACCGAAAGAAAACTTAAATTGAAAAGACTCAAATTTTTTTTTTGTTGAGATCGGTCAAAACGGTTCGGACGATAACCCTATCGGCCTGAAAGACTTGTGGCTAGCGATGCACACGATCCACGTGCACAAGTTATTTAGGGTAGCAACATATCAAGAAAAAGGAAGTAGGAGTGATTAGTTTTCGGGTTGGGTCGGTTCTACCCTAGAATCAATAAGGGGACTGGTAGGGTCGGTTCTCATGTTCCTAGAACAGGGAACCGGACCGGTCGATCCTGATCTAGTTCCAACGTTCGTCCGGTCCTTAAGGTGGATCGGTCCGGTTTAGGGTTTTGACAATTTTTTTTATTCTTAAGAAAATATAAAATTAAAATAAAAACATATTAGTCTGGTCTGGTCGTTCTGATTGATTTGGTTTCACACCTAGAACCTGGAACAGTCCAAAACCGGTAGGTTCGGCTCGATCCAGTTCTTGGGTCGGTCTGGTTCCATGCACATCCCTAGAAGGAAAGAAAAGAAAGCAAAACAAGAAAAAGGAAACATGGAACAGAGGGAAAAACTGAAAGAAAAGGATAAAACTACATATTCAGTCATTTATTTTTGGTTGACTAATGTGCCATTTATCTAAATGAATAAAACTAAGTTGTAACTTTATCTCATTTATTTAGAGGATTCCCATCAAAGTATAAAAACTTTAAAATGGAAAAATGGATTTATCCTTTTTGCTTTGGGCAAGTGATTACAACTTTTATCCTCGAAGACAATTCGATTTGAATTTCCATGATGTACGATGGACACAGGCGAAACTCCATGCAAAAAGAAAATCCGGCCCCTCGCGTGTGAAAACCTAAACGAAAGCACATCTTCGACGTATGTCACAAGCCTCGCATTGCAATCGTTTCATAAAACAAACCAAATGCCGATGAGTACAAGAAAAATAAAGAGATCGATGTTATACGATGAAAACATCTTCTTGCTTTCGGAGAAAGGAATACAACCTATGAAGCGCCAGCGCAGTCGTGAGGCCGCATATGCCCCCCGCCGACGACAACAATGGGCATGTTTGGTTCGGCTTTTGGGAAATGCATTTGGCAAAATGCAAAGGTCTTTTAGCTAAAAGGGTTTTTCGAAATGCATATCGTGTTTGGTAATGCGTATTTTAAAATCACATTTGAAAGCAATTTTGGTATAAATACCGTTTGGTAAAAATTATTTGTAAAAGACTTTTGCTGATATTTATAAAAAAAAAAAAAGTTGGCCAACTGACCACCACCGCCGGCCACCACCTCCGGCCAGATCTGGTCGCCAGCTAACCTCCCCTAACCTCAGGCGAGGTGGCCTGAGGTCGCGCAACCTCAAGCGGCGTCGCCGGGATCGCACGACCTCATGCGGCGGTTGCCTAGGCTCCCCAGACCTCAGGCGTCGGCTGCCGGGGTCGCGCAAACCCCAAGTGGCGGTCGCCGGGGCGCTAGCCCTCAGGCGACGGCCGACGGCGCCGGAGCAGCTGCTTGGGAAGAGGATGAATAGCGGCGATGAACAGTATCCGATTGCATTCCGAAAATGCAACTTCTCAATGCTCCTCATGAACTCCATTCAGCCAAAAGCCCTTTCCAAGCTTGCATCTCCTCAAAACTTGCCAAACAACTTTGTATTTGCTCAAAGGATTTTAGACCCCAAAGTAGCTTTCAAATGCTGAACCAAACAAGCCCAATGTCTCTCTCCTCGCTCATCTCTCTCTATCTCTGCGTGTAAGCGCTCAGCCCGTGTAGATGGTAAGCAAAGGAGCAGCAAGACCCTTCATCATAGCAATGAATGTACGCTGATTTAGGGGGTGTCATATGTTTCCCGCGGCCAGGCCCCCACCTACGTGCACGTCTTGTCTTTTTCATGAACCACATTTTCTGGGAACAGATTGTTTGTCCCTATCGCCAATCTGCTTGGTCTCTACATGCGTTACGTTTCACTTTTGAGAGGGAATTAAGCGTGATTTCGATAACAATTCACAAACGCAAACGGCGCACCTTACTTACCCGCTAAACACTCACAAATGACTAGGGGTGTCAAACGGGTGGGTTGGTCTTTTTTTATACTCCTCAATATCCGAACTTCCCGTTGGACAATCTTCGAGGATCAATTTCCAATATACCCATTAGACAATTGTAAAGAAGATTAGGTAGCCGTTGAGGTTTAACAGTCAGAGATCTTGTCAATCTAGCCGCCCATATAACCAAATCTTGATTTCCAAAAGTGGAGGTCTTCATATATGGAAATAATTATTGTTTAATCGGCGACGCGGTGAAAATGGATTGTAACTTTACAATTAAGTCAGGAGGCGTAGAAATTTGATAGAGAAATAAAATGAGGAACGATAAAAAGGCGCGAATGTCGGAATTTACGCCGTTCGATCCGAATGTCGGAATTTACGTCCACAAAAAAAGCCGATAAATAATTAATTAATAAATTGAAGAATTACAGGATTATAATTACTGTATTTTCCAATCCTAAAATATATCCAATATCCACGATATTTAATTACTCAATTTGAAGGACTTGACTCTACGCACAGATCTCTCCGAGCTCACGCCTCTGTTCTCTTCTTGAGCTCTCTCTCCTCGCGCTACAGAGAACTCTCTCTAGTTATGCACAGAGAGGAGCCCGCACCCATTTATTATGCATAAAGAAGTCTTCCCTTCTTTTCGGTTGCCAGACGAAATCAATGAATAAAACAAAACAAGCCCACACCTTTTGATAGTTGTATAATATTATCAAAGGTAGGGCCCCCTTCATTGATGTGTGCAGAGAAGAATTCATCTTCTCGGTTCATGCATGCAGCTCCTTATAATGTCAATTGGAGTCTTTTTCATTAAATGTGTAGCCGGTGGAAATCACGCGCGAGAAGGAAATTGAAGACTCTGCAGCGTGTTAGTCAAAAAACGTACCGTCTCATTTGTCTTTAACATGAGAGAACATGTCTCAATTGTCTTCAACGTATCTCTCTTAAATGAGACCATGCGCAATTTACAATAAATGCAGCTCATGGCCCACCGAACGTTGGATGAAAATGTGTGCAGCCAAGTCCACAAAATCAGCAAGATGACGTCCGTAATTAGTTTTAGTTATCGGATATTGTCCAATTACTCAAACTCGACATATAATTTAACAATAATTTTATTTTCAGTATAATTATCAATCAACTAAGATATCCCGCATGATTGATTATTTTGTGAAGTTAATCTTTAAGATTGATAGTCAATCAAAACCTAATAAAGTGAAAATTTAAACCTGATCCCTGGCCATAAAGAATGATATTAAGTATCTCAAATTGATAATCTTGAAATTTGTGATAAAAATCTCGTTGCAGAAAAATAGGTGTTCTGCTAGTATTTTGCTCAATATGATGATGTCTACCATATGCTCCAACGTTGTCTATTAATATCCACTTAGAAGCCTTATTTAAGGTCCCTTGCCGATATTTCTCCAGTTGGCTTGTTGATATTCATACAGTACAGTTGCTGATATTTACGTAGTATGTTGCTTCTGACTTCTTGGATATCATCAACTGTTTCTTTCAAGATATTTTTACGACGATAACAATGTAGATTCTGTAGACATAAGATCTTGATGCTTTAAAGTAAATATAGAATTCCATTCATCTGGACTTGTTCAGATGATCTTTCATGTGCAAAGAAAATTCTTTCAACGTGAATATTACCTGAAACATAAACACTTCTTGCATTTATTAAGATCGATACAAATCATGAATAGTTTTGTCACTCAACATAAAAGACATACGGTTATACTGGCGATAGATCGCACATTACATAGCAAGCCCTATTAGTTCTCGTGGCTTTGGCACACTTATGATGAACCAAGCTTTCACAGAATGACTCCAACTAGTAGCAGTAGCCTTCCCCTCTCAGAGACGGCCACAATCATAACGAGTGTGGCCAATTTTATCTGAGAAGAGAATGATCGTGAACAACACCACTATAAGCTTGATGATCCCCGAGGAACTACCTAAGATCGACCCAATAAAGAAAGTCTCCATGGTTAGCCAAAACACTCTTGCCCTACGCTCCTTGCTATACTTTTCAAATGCTTCCTTAACGGCAGACTTCTCAAATGATAACGACGTCTCTCTTGGACCACGATCGACGTCGTCAGCTAGCTTAATCTTCTCAGCCAAGCACCGAGCAAGCACAACCGCGTCCTCCAATGAGGCGGCGCCGCCTTGCGCGAGAAATGGTGCCATCGCGTGCATGGCGTCCCCGGCCACCACAATGGTGCCTTTCCAAAAGCTTCTTCTCAATATCTCCCACGGCGGACGATACCGTAGTTCTGTATATTGGACGGTAGATAGGTCGCTGTCCGACACCATTCGTATCGCATCGGTTGGGAAATCATTCATCGCTTTCACGATCGAGCTTTTGAGGAGCATTGGATCCTTTGCAAGCATTACCCTGGAATCTAATTCCGAAAAACTTGTAACCATTAGGAAGGATTTGAATTTTCACATTGACCACGTAAATTTGTTGTCCGACTTATTTTCTTGTTCTGCTTACTATAATGTTTGATCGCTTGTTTTCGCAATATATTCCGTGAGATAAGAGAGCACAAGAACGAAAGACATAATACCTGGAGAAGTCCACTTCCGAGTCACGAACCAGTAAACCAAGTGATCATCTACGGGAAGCCACCCCAGTTGAAGTCCATCCCTGCTCATCACAACGAACTCATTTCCAAGTCCATGAACATTTTCATAGCGAGTGAACCCTCTTGTTACATATATTGAGTAAAGCCCGGTTTTGTTCAATCCAACAATACTCGCAACCACAGAGTTCACGCCATCGCATCCGATTACAACCTGAAATTTGATCGGACATGAACCACATGACCAAAGAAAGCCGTATTATGCGACGAAAAGAAATGTGGATCCAAGTGTTCGGTATTCTTACGGAGGAACCGTTGACGGAAGAGACTATAGATTAGGTCATGTGTAGTGCTTAGAACATCACCTTGGCCTTGATGGTACCTCCGTCATCCAGATGAAGGAGAGGACGTGATGTAATTGGATCCAGTTCAACAGAGACTACACGACTTCCAAATCTTATAGAGTTCGATGGCAAGTCCTCAGCCAAAACATTGATGAGATCCATTCTTCTCAAGCAACGTACTTCTCCTCTGCAAACCAAAAATTATAAACACGAACTAGCTGAATGCTTGATTTTCGATTACGAGTGCATTTTAATCCCAAATAAATCGGTCTGGATAAGCTCTTAATCAAGCAGTTCCAATGGTAATTTACTGCTCTACTAAACAAACGAGACAGGTATTCAAAAAGGTTTCTCTTTAAACAAGAAAAGTATAGATCTTGTTGATTATGACTTACCCTAGGGGGATAGGTTCTTGCTTCCCGTCCGTGATGGTTACGAAGCGGCCACTGGGCATTCAGCTTGATGCATTAGCATTCGAGAAAATAGATACCACCTGAAACACAACCGATACTCTAAGCAAGGGACGAGGAACAGAACTTACGATTCGATGGCATTAGCAGTTTTCCGGAGCTTCGAGGCGACTCCTAATTGATCAAGCGCTCTCCAACCATTTGGCTGCATGATTATGGCCGCTCCGGTCGCCCGGAGCATCTCAGATCTTTCTAACACCAAGCTTTGTATCCCCTTCCTGCATTTGGTAGTAAATACAGCTTTCACATTCACAGAAAACAATCTTGTAGGCTAATATACGTTCATCCAATTGATTGTGACTTTCTTCGCATTCATTCTAATTCATGAAGCTTCACTTTCCCCATACCGAATGATTGATTCATCACAACATTTGTTGGTCGTTCAAACTTTGGAGTCATGTTCGACTCTCGACATTGATATACTTTTTACCACACTGTCGATTTGCCGGTTCATGGTGAGGACTATCTGAAATGTGCTCTCTCTACTTGCCGCGTATCGCCATTAGCTATCCGCACGAGTCATCAGTTACCGCGAACAAAGGGCAGCACCGAACGCTTAGTCTATCCTTAAATGTAGAAGATCTCAATCCAATTAAAACCACGTCGAAGTTTGAGTGGTCATGAGGATCCACAGAATCACGTTCAGATAATTTTCGAAGGTGGATCATATGTGCAGATAATTATTATATACATCGTCGGTGAAAGAGAAATTCTCCCCAAGTGACCTTCTTCATCATTTGTTAGTGGTTGTAACCCTCCGCTCTCACGAATTATCGTATCAACAGTACGCAATATGTATAAAACTGCACCATGCGTAGTTAGTTCCCCTAAAATATCTTGTCATGCTCTATTAAAATTTACCGCAAAAACTTAAATATCTCTCCATCCTCCCTCGACGGCGCGTTATCGCTGCTGCCTCTCATTGCTGTTGTCGCTCGCACCCCGCCTCCGTCACCCGTTGCCCCTTGCAAGCTCATCTAATATGATCCCAACAACGACGCGATTCAGGATAACTAAATGAAGGCAACGGTGTGTAGCCGTGTCAACTGTCAAGGGCCAGTTCGGCTAGGGTCTCCACTAATACCGTATCCGATCCAGACATGGAGGGTATAAATTATTTTTTTTTGGTAGGTGACCCGATCTGTGTGGAATCTGAATCGAGGGCCGGCTTATGCTTTTATTTTTAAAAGAACTGTGTAGCCATCCTTGATTATAAGAAAGTACACTCATTTAGCATAAAGCAAGCCTAATACGAATTTCAAACTATATAAAAGAGCATGGCTTTAGGTCATTTAAGTTGCCCTTAAAGGCCTCTCATCTAGATAAAGAGTACATGTTAACAAAAAAGTCCATTATGTACAAGTTTTAGAAAAAAGTGACGTCAATACTTTTTGATAAATTACTTACGCTGGAGAGTGAAAGGATGACAAATTGCTGCAAGCTTTCGAGCAAAAAAAAAAAAAATCGACAACTGAAGTCGAAAGCCGAATTGAAACCGTAAAAGGCCATTGTTTTACTTACTTCTCGAACCGAAGGGAAACCCAAACAAAATAGACAGTATTTTTTTGTTCAACTTGGACAATACGGTTCGAATGATTCTTTTTTATACCCCTAACGGAATGAACAACTTGTGGCTAGCGATGGACATGATCCACGTGCACGTCATTTAAGGTAGCAACATATCAAGAAGAAGAAAATAGGGGCAATTGGTTCCCGGAGCGAGAGCGAGACAGTTCCACTCTATAACTAGGAACTAGATCAGTAGGGTCGGTTTCCGGAGCAAGACAGTTCCACTCTAGAACCAGGAACTAGACTGGTAGGGTCGGTTTTCATGTTCCTAGAACTTGGATCTAAATCGATAGGGTTAGGAACCAAATCGGCTGGTCTCAGTCCAGTTCCTGGGTTGGACCTGTCGAGTTTAGGGTTTTGGCAATTTCTAAAGAAAAGGAAAAATTTTAAAAAAAGGAGAAGAACAGATCCACCCGGTCTAGTTCAGTCCAATCGGTCCGGAATGATCGACTTTTGCACCCAGAACCGGTTCCAGTGGGAATTGATCAGAATCGGTCGGTTCGTCCTGGTCCAGTCCGCTTCCCGTGCACCTCCTTAAAAGGAATGATAGAGAAGAAAGCAAAAGAAGAAGAAGGAAACATGTAACTGAGGAAAAAATAAAAAGAAAACGATAAAAGTACATGCGCACTCATTTATTTTCGGTTGACCAATGTACCACTCATGAAAGTATAATAACTTAAAAATGGAAAAAAGGATTCAACCGAAAATATCCGGGCAAGTGATTACGATTTTTCTCCTCAAAGTATTGAAGAAGATTCGATTTGAATTTGCATGATGTACGATGGACACAGGCGAAACTCCATGCAAAGAGAAAATCCGGCCCCTTGCACGCGAAAACCTAAACGAAAGCACATCATCTTCGACGTGTATCACGAGCCTCGCACCATGATCGTATCATGTAACAAAACCAAATGCCGATGAGTACAAGAGATCGATGTTATGCAGATGAAAATATCTTCTTGCTTTCAGATAAAAAGGAATACAACCTATGCAGCGCCAGGGCGGTCGCGAGGCCGCATATCCCTCCGCCGACAACAACGATGTCTCTCTCCTCGCTCATCTCTCTCTCTCTCTCTCTCTCTCTCTCTCTCTCTCTCTCCCGTGCAAGCGCTCAGCTCGTGAAGATGGTAAGCAAAGGAGCAGCAGATGAGCCAGCTATTTAACATGGCAATGGAAGACCGAGGGAACGGCTCAAATGGAGTGCTACGCACCGGTTCGATATGTTGACGAAGATGTACGATGATTCAGGGTGTCATATGTTTCCCCGAGCCGGACCAGGCCCCACGCGCACGTCTTGTCTTTTTCCTGAACCACGCTTTCTAGGAGAAAAGTGTCTGTCCTTACTGCCAAGCTACTTGGCCTCCAGATGTGTTACGTTTCTCTTTTGAGAGGGAATCAAGCTCGATCTCGATAGCAATTCATGATAGCAAAAAGCGCACCTTGCTTGCCCCCTAAACACTCGCTAATGACTGTTGAGGTATGGGTCCTTTGCGTTTACACTGAGATGTCCGAAATGACCCCGGTTTAGAAAGAATTTACCCTGGAATAGAAGCGAGCACCTAACCTCTTTCTCTCTCTCTCTGCGTGTCAACCACTGTGACTTTGTCGCCCCTCTCGCTCCCCACCACCATCCCGTCTCCGTTTTCGTCGGTCTCGTCCCCGTCTCCATCTCTAGCTTTCACTCTCGGCGACCACAAGGGGGGATGCACGAGATTGCGACCACCGCGCAAGTGGCATGTCCAGCCCTCAGGTAAGCTTTGGAAGTGCTGTGCAGTACATGCGCAAGCAACAACGCATGGAATGGTTACTGCGACTTGGATGGAAGAGGTCCGTGGAAGGACAAGGCGGCAACAGTTGAGGGGTGACGATGCTTTGGTATGCGATGAATGCACCGAAGTCAAGAGAAGGGGCAGAATGGGAAAAGAAAAAAAAATGGCTGTTGTGTTTTTTTCTTTCTAACTAGTTTTTTGATTGGTGAATTATAAGTTACGAACATTACTCGCATGAAAATTTAGCTTAAAATGAAGGAATTAGTGCATTAGAAGTCTTAAAACTTACCACGAAAGTGTAATTAAGTCATAAATCTTACAAAAAGTGCAATCAAATCCTAAAACTTGTCAAATTAGTGCAATCGAGTCATTCTGTTTACTCTATCTAATTAGACTAACAGAAAATGTCGACGTGACTTGTAATATTTTCTCTCACCTACGTGGCACTACCTTACTTAAACAAATGACGTCATTTAGACCTAAATCCTAAGTTTTTAACCAAATCTCAATTAGATTAGATTAAAAAAATGAAAAGGAGTTTAAAACAAACACAAAGAGGCAAGGCACGGCCGCACTTTCCAGCGCCGGTGGCGAGGGCCAGCCGCCCTTGCCTGTGCCTTTCTTTGTGTGTTTTTTCTAGAATGCCTTTTTTAACTTTTTAATCTAATTTCATTAATATCTTGGTTAACAAATTTAGATTTAAACTAAAAACGACGTCACTTTGATCGTATATTTCATGTTTTGGTAAGATAATAATGGTATGCACAAAAGAGAAAATATTTCTAAAATGTCAAGTAGGATGAAGAAAATATTAAGAAAAAGCCACTTCAATAAATGAACTAATCAAGCATTGGCTCAAGGAAAAAGACACGATCGGGAAAAGGGGGAACAGGGAAAACAGAAAAGAAAAGATTGAGAGAAAACAAATCTAGACCGTTCAAAGTGCACGTCGCTGTGATGTGCGGTCACAAATTTACTTCGGCAAATTAGGAAGGTCCCAACATTAAAGCGATACGACCTCCGCTTTGTCGTCACGTGCAAAGTTCGTAGCGCGCGCGCACAAACGGGACACGCTCCCACGACAAATTCCGGACACGTGCGCACATTCGATTGGAGCGTCCACACCAACCCAAAGTAAGTGGCTTCCAAAGCCCGTCGTCGCCATCATCATTCGCGTCAAGGTACGGTCATTCATTCGACCCAAAAAAACAGGAAAAAGAGGTACAGTGATGAAAAAGATATCTCACCAGTTTGAAAAGATTATTTAACGCGGAATTAATTAAAATAAAAATCTCCGATTATGTATATAGTAACGTATTTATCTAAAGTCCCGAACTTATAACCGTGTTATACATTTACCCTTTATCAAGGTAGCCTTAATTAGCACCGTTAATAATGGGCACCCTAGTGTAACTGCGGTTGAGGTCGCGATGTAATTGTGCTTGGGTCACATTGCGCGATCTCGGCATGGCAACATCGTGAAGCTAAACAGTGTCGAGGGTCTAAGTGGAGGGTTTTCAGATTTGCAATTTGGGGTGATTCGGATTTGCAATGTCAGGGCTTCACCAACAATCATCTCGCAGGACATCCGGTGGAGATTCACTGGCAACTTACCTCTGTTCCTTGGAAAAGATGAACAGTTATTTATGAGGACAAAATTGGAAATGGAAATAATTTTTTTTTTTTGATAACTCAGGAACCCCCCGCACGGCCGACAGCCGAAGGGGTAAACCTGGAGTGACGCTAGCGCAGGACCCACCACCACGGCGCCACACTTAAGAATCCCTAACGACTAGGCTGGGGTTCGAACTCCAATCCCTTCGTGGGGGGACAAGAGCGCAAGCCAACGCAGCCGCTACGGGCGGTGGTGGAAATGGAAATATTGATGATGGCTGTTTGGAAGAAAATTTTGTATCACTCATAAGAAGTAGCCTGTCGCAAATGTTGAAAGCCCAAGGCGAGAGCTTTACCAAGGCTGATTTCCCCAAAGTGGTCCCCAAAAAATTTCCCAAACGCCCTAACATTTGTCCAAGGATCTCTAAAGCTCCAACGCTTATTTGCAAATTTGAATCGAACGTAGCCTAAGTTTTGAAAAATTTAGGATAAATATGTCATGATGGGTATAGTTTGAGGTTTTTGATGTCACAAGAAAAAGTTTAAAATAAACATTAGTGTTTGAGCGGGAAAATTACAGAAAAAGTTCTAAACCCATTACAATCGAACTAATTCAGTGATAAACCTTTTTTGCCAATTAAGTCTTAAACATTTTACATTGGTGCCAATTGAATTTAGCCAGTCAATTTTTACTAAAAATCATTGACATGAACACCAACTGTTGTACATGGCGTGGCCAGCGCTAACGTAGACAATTTATAATAACAATTTAATATTTTTTTTCAATTTTTTCCCTTTTTTCTTTTTTTCATTTTCTCTTCTTTTCTTTTTTCTTTTTTTCTTTTTTTATTTTTTCCCTCTGCTAGCCATTGCTAGCCTCGGGGGAGGGCTGCCCTCGCCCAAGGCCGGCAATGGTTGCCCTCACTCACTTAGCCTAAGGTCAGCAGAGGGAAAAAAGAAAAAATATAAGAAGAGAAAAGGAAAAAAGAAGAAGGAAAAAGTAAAGAAGGAAAAGAGAGAAAAATAAAAAAAAGTAATGTAAAATTCGAAAAAATATTAAAATATCATTAAAGATTATCCACGTTAGTGTCGATTGCGCCATGTAGAACGACTAGCATTCACATCAACGATTTTTGGCAAAAATTAGCCGGATTAACTCAACTGGCATAAATGCAAAGGTTTAGAACTCAATTGGCAAAAAAAATGTTTCGGTTTAAATTGGTACAATTGCAATAAATTTAGGACTTTTTTGCTAATTTCCCGTGTTCACTCGCGTTTGGGTGATTTTGTGAGGAGAAATAAATGATTAGTCACGTGAAGAAATGTATGAAATGGGAAATTATTGCCCTAAAAATATAGTAACTTGTTATTGTCAAATAAGTGAGGCAAAACGCATAAATATATAGATATAGATACAACAATCGTCTTACTATAAGAGTTAGTAAGGATACATTTGGTAACATTTCTATTTCTCTGTTTTTCTATTCTTTTGTTTCCCGGAACAGAAAAAGAACATAAATTTGTTTATGTACGTCATTCAATTTTTCTACGCCCCAGAATAGATTAGTAGCTAGAGAATAGATTTGGAACAGAAACAAGAAGTAAAAAAAATATATGTTTTTTTTCGTGGGAACAAAAGCAAAAATAAGTTCATTTTAGAGAAATAAGCTCAGCGTAACCTAAATTCTAAACCCTACCCCTCACACCCTATGATCCAGACCCTAAACTCTATACCCTACACCCTAAAACTCAAAAGGTCTATGCACCTATTTATTGTAATGTCCAAAGATTTATTTGTGAGTTATAAACCGATGGAACTATCTACCGCCATTTCCAGCCATTTATCTTTGACTAATTATTACGTTGAATTTTTATGGCCATCTTAGAATATCTTGATTAGTTAATTTCTTACAAAAGTCTAGTTTTATTCAAATATAACTTGTTAAGTCTCCACTGATATTTTTATAATTAAATGAAAATTTTGGGAATAGAAATTTTTAGGGTCGTACTAAGAGCAGTTATGTTCTTTTTCTATTCCGGAAATAGAAATTTTGTACAATTACCAAATAGAAAAAGCTATTTCCAAACAGAAATCGTTCCTAAGAACATAAGTGTTATCATACGCGCCCCAAATAGCTTGCATGGTCACTTAATGGTTTGATTAGATTAAAAGCTAACAAATTCCATGAGTCACGGAGACCAATATGTTGCCTCTATACTCCACCATTGCATCAATGCCACACCAACGCCGTGGACATGTATGGACCGGAGATCCTTCACGAGTTACTACCTAGTCACAAAGTCGATTTACTAATTGGAATTCGAATCACGAAATTTAGATTTCAAAAGATTCCGAGGGGCCGGCCCCCTGTGATTGCATGTTAAAGGGTTGACAATTCATGTCGGCACGATCGTACCCGTAAGTTTTTGTCGATTTCGTGATAGCTTTGGCGCATCGAGATTTCGATTCTAAAAGTTAATTGACTGACAAGGAAAACTAACACTAAATTCAGTGAAGTGGTGTCTCCCTTTTTGTTCTGTGCGACATCGATAGTCTCGGCCTCCATTATTGCTTTCGTATTTCATAGCTAGACTTGGGGCCCTTTAGCTGAAAAGAATCAGAGAAAGCCGTGATAGGTAGGACAAAATTTTCATTGCTGAAGCGATTAAAATTCTATTTATTTCGCAAAAAATAAATAATTTAAAAAATATTTTTTAATGATAATTTTTTTTATCACTTGAAGTAATTAGTCAATAAAAAATATTTTCATTATTAATAATAACATAAATTTGAATATTTTTTTTTGTAAGCATAT